TCGGCATTCAATCGACTCCAATAATCTCTAACATGAAAACTTACTGAAAAGTTTTAGAATATTAGCCAACATAGTAATATTCATTTTTTTCCTCTAATGCAACTTCATTTTCATATTGAAGCACATAAGCGCGCAAACACGCAAACACACACACACACACACATACACATAGAGACATACACATAAACGAACGCACACATATATTTAATGCAACGAAATTTGTTACCCTTAGAAATTTATTGTGTCACGAAGCCAAATTGGAATTTCGTGCTTGTAAATTTTGGAAATTTGTGTTACGCGCGGTAGAGGTTTAAGTTTATTGGTGTTTGCAAAGCCGCGTAATACGAGTTTTAAACCGTCTTATGCTCCGAGAAATTGCCTCGATCATATAACATAATATCTCAGCATAAGAATATATTCATAGTATACTGCACTTGAAAATATTTATTAAATCAGTTTGCAATATTCTAAGTAAATTTAATCTAATTATCGTTGTGCTCTTGCAAAACATTATATTAACAAAGATCTATAGTTTGTTAAACGCCGATAAGCGGTAAAATTTAAAACATTTTATTACAAATTATTTGAAATAAAACGTATTTTTAATAATCTTATGTATCGATCGATATTTGCAACATCGATATAATTTAAGTATATATATATATATATTTTTTTTATTTTTTTTTGTTTTTTTTTTTGTTTTTTGTTTGAGAAAATCATTTATTCTTTTTGTTATCTTTATGAATTGTTTTTTTTTTTTTTTTTTTTTTTTACAAGTAGTCCAGAAATTAAAAAATGACTTTTTAAACTCTTTACAAATAATATTGAATTTTTGTTACTACTTAATGAAATATCCGTCTTGGTCAGTTTATACGATTTCAGCATACACTCGTATACATATTAATCAATACGTATATCATGTTATTTAATTTTCTATTGTGTGATCTGGATTGAGTGCCCCGTACATTTTTGTATCAACTAGGCTTATCAAGTGATTTATTTATACATTTGCATGAAAAAATAATTTTGCAATGAAATTATTACAGCTATGGATACATCGGTAAATCAACTACTGGCAATTATGATCTTGAGTAAAAAAAAAAAAAAAAAAATGAAGAAATGATACATTTTGTGTAAGGAATTATAATAAAGAGATTTTATAATAGTATATTAATAGGGTATATGTAATAAAACAGAATTTTTAATACGTACCTGTTTATTAAATTTTTCATGTGTAAACAAAAATATAATTACTCGTTTTTATTAATTCCTTTTACTAATGCGATTATCGTGTGCCCTTTACTTTATTACAGAGAATACAAGTTACAACTCTCTTATGTCAATTCTATACTTTTATTATATATATATATATATATATATATATATATATATATATATATATATATATATATTATAGAGATAATGGTCACTATATGAAACTTTCAAACAACAATTCAATTTAATTGTTTCAGCATACAATAATTTTAAAAAAATCTAAAAAGTATTTTACACCCAGTATTACATATACCAAAAATATGTAGAAAAATGTAGATAATAATACATATTTCACAGGGCATAAGCTTGATTAATGATTTACTGTTTCGTTAAATTTTAGAATTTCAATATTATAAGCAAATATGAATAATTCGTAAAAATGTCAAATTAAAGTAACAATATACTTTGAATTGAGAATTTAATTTCAAATAATAATAATAATGTAATATAATTTATTTTAAGTTGGAGTATTTATATTTTAAAAATAACTATCAATAGATTGTACTTACATATATTTTTGATTGATATTTAAATTAATGCTTCTGGAATTATCAAATTTTCTTGACATATTTCATGATATACGTTATATAACGAATTAAAATATTTCCAAATGCAAATAATATAAAATTTGACAATATAATATTATGCAAATTAAGTTAAATATAAAGTTATTGAAAAAATTATAAAAAAAATTATACTAATTGTTGTATGAATAAAAAAGATTTTATCTCTGTGTGCGCGCGCGCACGTGTGTGTATGAGTGTGCGTGTGCGTGTTTGTGTATTGCGCATGCCAAAGGATATATACATTATAAATATTTCTTTTAAATAAACGATTTAAACAATTAAGTATATTTAAACATTGCATAGATAAACTATACCCTATACGTAACCATTGTAATTTCAAATAATAAATGAAAATACGTAGAAATAAATCGATACTACATCGTACCTTTGATTGTTTATTTTTCACATATATTAATTAATTGTCAATTATAAAATGCTTTAATAATATAAATATAAATAAATAGATAAATATTTAAATGTTATGCCAGATAATCGTGTCAGATAATTTATACAATTCTATGATATATAAATAATGTAATTTTATAATATTTAAATAATGAATATAGAATTTTATATGAATTTCAATAAACTTCAAATTTAATGAAATGTAATATCGACTAAACACAATGCAAAATAAATAATCATTATGTTAAATCTTACTCATAAATAATAAAATAGAATTTTTAATTATTATAGATCGAAATCATAAAGTGTAAATGAAAAAATCCAATTCATAAAATTCTCAAAGACTATAAGATTATATCATATAATTGTGTAATTTGTCTGCATAAGTAAATGAGAAAAACACAGTGCCAAAATAACTTACTAAGACAATGATTTAAGATTAAAAGGATTGATAAATTATAATCAAAATGCTGATAAAGAAGTAAATTTGGAGTCGTAGCTAATTATAGGCAAATTAGTATTGTGCCGTAATCATGATAAGTTATTATTATAACCTACTAAATCATTATAATTTTTTACATTTATTATATTTTTACTTTAAACTTGCGATTTAGCACAAATTTTCATTATACTTAAATGGACACAGAATGTCCGAGAACATAATTCTACTTTAATGCTAACATAATCTTTTTTTTTTTTTATTACAATCAGACAACCTTTTTATTTCATTCACCAATTAATTTTATAGATTTTAATACCATAGATAAAAAGGATTTTATAATGATAATTTATAACAACAAACTACAGAGAAATTATTGTAGGAATACGAGGTAACATAGTTAAAAGTAAAATCAGTAATTTCATGTGGAATCGCAATGTATATCAAAGTTCAGAAAAAATAAAGATATTTTATGACTTTTTACACAAGCACGAGTAATTTATTAAATGTATTGATAATGATTTAATAATATTATTATTATTAAGAAATATTAATGGCATTATGACTAGATTATACTTTAAAGTGGAACTTACAGAATTGTTTAATTTCTACAGTGATTCTACAGTATTTCGATTATTGCAAAACTTTGGTTCTTACTAATGACTTAAAATTATGCCGATATCGTAGTTTTATTGCAATTTACTGAATTGCAAATCAACTAAAAGCTTATGTCGGTAGAAATTAATTTTTTTTTTTTTTTTTTTTTAACAATCATGTAATAATTGAAAAAAAATTGCTCATTCAATTTCAGTAGCTAATTTTTGCGTATATTTTTATTAATACGAGTATTATAAATAGTTATATCAGTTAATATTAATCAAAGAAAATTCTAATTTAATTCTAATTGATTCTCAATAATTATATAAATGTATATTAATATTTTAATAATGTAGAATAATAATTATATACTTTATAAATTAAAAAGTAGTTTAAACGTTGTATTAAACTATTGGTTTAATGATATATATATATATATATATATATATATATATACATATATACATATTCACATACTAAATTTATATAAAAAATAATTTTTGATTAAATAGAAGCAGTGTATTAATAGGTTAGAGTATTTCATTATTTACACAAACATCTTTTAATAACTTAAAAAAATCATAATTAGGATAATGTAAAAAATCGATGCATTATTTTCGTATTATTTTTTATAAATATTTTATATTCCACTAAATCATATGTATAAAGAGAGAGAGAGAGATATAAAGAGCTGAGTAAAATTTCAAAACCTATGCAAATAATGATTTGATGTTAAATTATTCTTTTATAATGAGTTCTTAATAAATATTACCTTACCATCTTCCGTTGTGGATTTTATATAAGCAATGTGGTGATTCTTAAATTAATTTATCGAGAATTCATTAACGAATGAGTCGCTCATGAATTTGCATGTTTTTAACTTTTCTAAGTTAGCTAAACAATCGTTACTTATTACCCATACAACGATCAATCAATTTGAAATAATCCTGACTTCATAATTTCAAAAGTTTGCTAAGCTTCATCTTATATTTCAGCTTCTGAGATATTTTTTATTTTCTGTAATTTTTATTTAAGCAACAAGCTAGTTATATTTATAAAAATTTCTTTTTTGTTTTTAAACTCATTTGTTTAGGAACAAAAGCAAAGAATATATATTAATTACAATGTTTACGTATATGGCATTTATGAAAAACATAAAAAATTTGAGTGAATTTAGCCTTTGGTGCAACATATATTAATAGATTATAAAATATAATAAAATTTATTATATTGCTTTATAAATATGCAATATTTGCATCTTCATATATTATAAATAATATAAAACACCTTCGTACTTGCTCAGATCTTGTGAATCAACGTCACAGAGTGCGAGCTAAAAATGAAATTATACATATATTCTGATTTTTATTTATACACACACACACACACACACACTCACATATATATATATATATATATATATATATATATATATATATATTAATGTTAATGAGAATAAGGAAAATAAATAATGAAATTCAATTTTGTTTAAAATTCAAATATAATATTCAAATAAGTTTATATATAAAAACGAGATGTAGAAGTCACTTTATAGAAAAATATAATAAATGTGCTTTATAGCTTAATAAGACTTATTATATATTTAACTTATAGTAGCTAATAAAGTATTATATAAGCACACGTGTGAGGTAGCATACTCACTCACTTGTCGTAATTCGTATTGTTTTATAGTTCAACGTTCTATAATACCTTAACGTATAAAGTCACAGCGACCTAAAAAAATGTTTCTAATTATGAATTTGTTATTCTCTATATAAAATAAAAATTATGATAAATTTTTTCTATGCGATGATAATGTCTTTCAAAGATTTTTATCTCAATACATATTATATAAGCTATTCAAATAATCTTTTGGCAATTTATTTAATCAACCATTAGTGCCGTAGTTTTGTTCGTATATGTAGTACTCTATGAGAAGATATCGATGTGAGAAATATTTTTTTTTTAGAAATACTAAAAATTTAACTACGCACATGAATTAAAACAAAAATTGTTTGCTTTAATTTTTAGAATAATATGTTAATGAGACATTTATATTTTAAAATTTTTTATAAAACGTTTAGTATCTAATTAACAAATCTCTATTTCTTTGGAAAGTGTTGTTTTATTTATTTGATCAATAGTCAATTCAGCAATTTATTTAGCCTAATTCGAATGAGGTTTTTTCAGTGTTTTTAATCAAAGAATAAAAAGAATCATCACGTTTTTTTTTTGCGTTTTAAGTGACCCTTAAATAGAATATATTTTTATAAATCTATAATTGGTAATGTTAATCGATTGGACATTATTGCTTTTGTCTAATGCTCAGATCTTACTTCCCCTTTAATCTACAAAATTCTTAATTCCACTAATCGTCAATCTAGAGTAAATAGAAAAATAGTAATTTGATCATTGGCTTTTGTATGCCATTATTTTTATTTATTTATGCTTTTATTATGTGCGTGTGTCCTGTAATTTATGTTTCAAATGCTTCTTGAACATCTACGAGGAGCCTATCCGATCGCTACTGATTATATTCAACAAAGCAAAGCTATTTCTATTTTTGGCATGTTGAGTAAATAATATTAATATTGATTTGTATATAATTATATGAGTGAAGTTATAAATAAGGCGTCTTAAATATTTATGCCAATTTACAATGCACAATGTGCCGATAACTGCCAAGTGACTGTTTCCCATCTCATATTTCCCTCGAGTGACAACTAACATCTATTTAGCTCCGAACTTTATCGATCGGTTGAATAAATCGATTGAGAACGAAAGGCGCTTTTAACGAAAACATTTCCATCTGATGACCATCTCATTACCAGAGTTGTAGTTTAAATTTTAAATGATAAATAAGCGAATATGTTGTATTTAGCGAATCTCAATTGAAGAAAGCGCCAAGTGTGGTAGGCGTTGAGTGGCTGAATAAATTGTCAGGAGAAAGAAAACAGGACTCGATATCAAATAGCTGACCGGCCATGTATAGCATTGCTATTGTGTACATATGTTGGCGAGGATCCTTCATTTAGGTTTAACAGCCAATGCGCATGTAACGAGAAGGTGTTCTTATCGGACATTACACTGTACTTTCGCATTTAGCCGGCAAGCCTTTGTTGATGTTTGTCGGCATTTATTGTTTTGAACAAATAAAATCGCTTCTTTCAGTTTTGAATAGGAATAAAATATACTTATCTTCATTTGTCATTGGCACATATTTATATTATTTTCTATATATCAATTATATATGTGATCATGAATTTTTTAATGAATAATGAATTAAAAAATGAAAACAATAATTTCATAAATAACCACATTAGTAAGTAAAATTATTATAGAATATCATCGATATGATGATCGACGTGTATCTTAGAAAAAAAGTTTATAAAAAAAAATAATTTTAACTAATATGTTTCAGGTTTAAAAATGAGACTGAATTTATTATTAATAGGTATTTGCTCTGTTTTTATCATCACTTCATCATGGTTAATTAATCATGATTCCCTTAGTAGCGTTGTATTTTTGAAGGAAAATCAGCAGCCCCTTCACATTGTATCTGACAAGTTTCTCTCATTTGGTTTGGATTCTTCTTTATTAAGGAATATGAAGAAATTGCCTATTAATGACCACAAGTTTATAAATCTTGTTCGTCACCTCAGTCCTGCTTATGTAAGAATCGGTGGTACAAACGCAGATTGTCTATATTTTGAGCAAGTATGTTTTTATAAATATATTAATTATAGTCATAAGTATAGTTCCACGTCGATGTAATTAAAAGAATAATTTTCAAATAGTCAGGCACGTTAACGGAGACACAAATAAATAAAGAAACGAATGTCACGAGTTTAGTGGATGATGCAGATATTAGTAATTTTACATTAACTAGTAATGATTTTCTCTCTATTTATAAATTCACAGAGAAAACAGCGATTAAAATGATTTTTGACTTGAATGTTCTGTTAAGAGAACCCAATGGTTCATGGAATAGCGATAATACAAAAGAAATTATAGTATTTTCTAAAAGCCATGAAATGGAAATTGACTGGCAATTGGGAAACGGTATTATTACTAATTATTTAACGAATATTATGGATATGATATATTGTAATTTTGTTAATATTATATATTGCAGAACCAAATTCATTTCTTCATGTATTTAATATTTCAATTTCTGCACAACAATTAGCTAATGATTATTGTAAATTGCGTACTGTACTTAATGAACTAGGCTACCAAGACAGTATTCTTGTTGGGCCAGAAGCAAATCATGTCGACAACGAATACAAGAACGGTGTTAAGTATGGAATAGATTTTTTAAATAATGTTAATAATTGTGTTGATTATTTTACATGGCACCAATACTACCTTAATGGCCATATAGCTCAATTAGAAGACTTCTTAAATCCAAAGGTTTTCAATCGTTTATCTGAACAAATTAGTACTATGGGAAATGCAATTAGATCGAATGGCCATAACGTGTCCATGTGGCTTTGTACGTACACTCAAAATACAACATAATTCATTGAGTGTATACACAAATTTTCATCTAAAACATCGATAAATAAGATTATTATAAATAAGATTTGTAGAAAAATTAATGGCAAAACTTATAATTCTTTTATACTTACAGCCGAAACAAGTTCTGCATACGGTGGTGGTGCGCCAAAGTTATCCGATAGATTTGTTGCTGGATTTTTATGGCTTGATAAGTTGGGCTACAGCGCCAAGGCAGGTGTTAAAGTTATAATAAGACAGTCACTTTTTGGTGGTAATTATGCAATGATTGATGAAAATTTGGATCCAAATCCTGACTGGTGGGTAACTTTAATGTTCAAGCAATTTGTTTCTAATAAAGTTTTGAGTTTGAATACACCAGATAATTTTGGTAACATAAGATTGTACGCCCATTGTGCTTTGAAACAAACTTTTCTAAATGGTCTTCCTGCAGTTACTATTTATGGAATAAACTTAAATGATGAAAAAAAAAGAATGTACATCCAAGGTATATCGAACAAATCCAATATTTTTGCTTACTTCCTTACATCAGACAATTTACAATCGAGGTAACGACACGTTGATTATCTGCTTTATAATTTTTATTTAATTATCAGTAATTGATTATAGAAAAATTTATATTTTACAAAAGATTCAAAATCATTTATGAACTTTTTCTAAAATCAATTTCATATAAGATAAACATTTTTAAAAATTTCTTTAAATATTCTCTTCAAACAGCAATATTTTCATGAATGGAGAAATATTGAGGCTCTTAAGCGATGGAAGTATACCACCTTTTAAACCAAAAATTATAGAAGTAAGTCAAGGTATTGAGTTACCATCGTATTCAATGGTCTTTCTTTTAATAGATAATGTGAAAATACCATCATGTTTAGAATTATAAAATTAAAAATGTTTTATAAAATTTTTATATTTTAATAAAAAATGTAACAATATAAGGCAATTAAATATTTAATTTCACGAATACTTTATTTTTCAATGTTGTTTGTTGTATATATATATATATATATATATATATATATATATATATATGCACACATGCATACATATGTATATATAATCACAGATTTATTTCGAGTACAACTATATATATATATATATATATATATATATATTACTTAAATTCAATGTATTTATTACAAGTTTCCAAAAATAATATTTATAAATTTAATGGATAATCCATGCAAATAATTTTATGCGGCTAATTAAAAAATTTTTTATTTTTCATCGATACGATGTTTTAACTTGAAACTAATATAATATTTATTTATACATTACATTATAACTGTACAACAAAAATTCAGAATCTATTTAGTAGTATTTAATGCTAGAGTACAGACATTTCAGCAATAAATGAAACAAAATTTTAATACCATCACCAATTTTATGCATATTCTTTATATCTCTTTTATACTTCAATTCTTTTAAAATCTTTTCAACTGAAAATAAGCTTTACAAAATTTAGTCCAAAGCTTGCAATTCTATAATACTGATAGAATAAGATACGAGTTTTATATCAAGTTTTTCTAATTTACAAGTATTATAATTCATAATAGTCGCGAAAATATGAAATAATAATCTATTTAATAAGAAATTATGTTTAGTTCACTTATATAAAAGAAACTTGATCTTTTATATAAGACTTTTATACTTGATCTATGTATAATTAATTTAAAAAATGCATGAATTATTTAAGCCTATTTAGAAATATAATTATTTTAATGTCATTAAAAAATAATACTTTTGTAATTTTAATTGAAATAATATATTAATAGATATGAAAAGATTTTAGATTCAATTTTTCTTTTTGGTTTTATTTAATTGATGTATGTCTTTTTAAATCTTCAAAAGTATTAACTTTTTTTTTACAGCAATTTTCATTTCTAATAAATAACTAAATAGTATTTGTTTGTTTGTTTGTTTGTTTTTTTTTTTATAACATCTACAATTATAGCTTATATACTTAAAAATGGCATTTATTTACAAATTTAAATATATCGATATTCTTATTCCTGAGCAGATATTGTAATAGTTTTGCCTTTAGGATCATCGAACCGATCCATTGTACGTATGTCCATAATCATAGTAAGACCCCAAATCATAATTATTGCTAAAATAGAGGTAACAAAAATTCCAGTCCAAATGGGTATGCTCATAAAGCCAATGCAATCATAAACATCGCCAAATTTTTTCACATCCATTTGAACTTGCAAATTCACTAATTTCAATGCAATTTCTTCTTTCGTTTCTTTATTTTTATAACTAAAAATACTTTCTTTAGAGCAATGATAAGAGAAGTTAAATGGAAAATAGATATCACTTGTACTTTTCAAATAATATTTTATATTATTTCCATTAGGTTCATATTGAAACCCAAGAAATCTAAAGTAACCATTAGTGATATTGAATTGAGCTTTAAGACTAATTTTCTGCGGATTATTAGGACTAACACCCTTAAAAACCATCGTTAAATTATAGTGTTTATTGTCTTTTTGTGAGATTATATACGTTGGATAATCTAATTGTACATAATCTTCCTTGTTGAACTTGAAAAATATAAAAACAATTATTTATCTTTTAATTTACAGTTTAGTTAAAAAATATATATATATATAATTTTATAATACCTTGATCATGGGATTCTTTTGAGCGTAAAATAATATGTCTTCAGTATTTACAATAAAGTTTGTTGTATTATTTGAATTATCAGATGCCCTTTTAATTCGTTCTAAGGTTCCATAACTGCAAGATTTTCCAGTAAGAGCGACTACTAAATTTGGACTTGATTCTCTTACAATATTATATATTTCAGGAATGGCATTAAGATCATTTAATTGTATTAAAGCTAATTGGCCTTCGGCAACTGATTCAAGATTATCTTCGGTTGTTATATTATAAGAGGATAAATTTTCAAAAACTGATAAAGCTGATTCGACAGATGTTAAGTAGGTAAGTGAACCGGCATTATTTAATTGTAGACTCTACATAAATATAAAAATACAATATTTGAAAATAGCAGAATACAGTTACTCGTTTATTTTTTATTATTTTTTTTTTTTAACATACCAAATTATTTATTTATGATACAATATATTTCTTATATTCTAATATTCACTAATTGCATTGAATATGCGTATCTTGTAAACTAATAATTTTATCCTCACAATGATGATAATTTGATTATTTTGTATTTAAAATAACTTATTAAACTTGGCAATATTAATTTAATTAATTTAATATATTTTCAAATCTTACATTAAAAATTGCATTGGGATATTAAAATAATTGAAAATATAAAAATTAGTCACTTAAATATGTTTTTTAGAAGATGGCCCAACATTATTACAATTTTAATAAATTAAAATATCATTGTAGAAATTAATTTCAAAATAAAAATTACAAATTTATCAATAATAAATATTACGAATTAAAAATAATTTTAAGTGTGTATGGTTTCTTATATATTTGCTAAACTAATTTAAATAAACATGAAGCTTTTCCCTTTATAGTATCGACATTTTCTTTCAACGTTTACAAGATATTTATTAAAATGTTATTCATAATTAAGCTTAAATAAGAAATTAAAGATTGATATTTTATACTATAAATCATTTTTCTTGGCAGATATAATTACTAAATTAATATAATTAAATTAAGTTAGTAACCTGCTGATGATATTTAATATCTTCGACGCAGAAATTGTCTTTCACAAAGACAATTATGGGTGGTTGTCCCCCCTTGCCCAAACGTTCAGCTAATATTCCTTCAAATTCAGGCCTCGAGGTTTTGTGCAGAGGATTGATAAGGCTACTGGAAGAAGTACCAGACCAAAGCATCACAGGCACAACATTACCAGCTTCTATACTGGCTAATTGTGTGAATAAAATCCAGGCAATGAATAAAATCCAACACTTCACATTTTTCAAAGCTTTGTCCATGTTCGTCTGCTTGCCGAACCTTTATTTTGTGCAATTCAGTCTCAAAAATGAGACTAGCCTTATGTAGAATTTAATATTGTTCCTTCAACTTCTTGGATATAACGGCAATAATAGAAATTGTGAGAGCCGATACCTGCTGCTTAGTCCTGAGATTCCAGTTAGATTTTATAAATTTAGGGAGGACAGACTAGTTAAGACATCTGATCCCTTGACTGTCATATGACGACATCACGTGATAGATTTTCGATAAATGATATACGCACGTAGTTTGTGGCCCGCGATGGCATCTTCCTGTTGATATTTGGATTCTGCGCAGTAATAATTTTGCACTGATGTAAGCTGTCTTAAGCTTTGAAAATTTAAACTAAAAGGAAAAACGAAGAAGAAATAAGCGTGAGATGCGAGAGCACATATACAATGTAATTGTAATTGCATTTTAGTTTCTGTATTTGAAGCTTTTGTCTTGTTACATCTAGAGGCAAAAATAACGTTAAATAGCGTATAATTATAATGCAAATATTTATTTTCCTTTGTTATTAATTTTGTTATATACACATGTACTTTTTTTTTTTTTTTTTTTTTTTTTTTTTTTTAAATAATTTGTTTAAAAACAATTAATAAAGTGAACGAAATAATATTTTACAAAGAATCGTTAAACTTTTGTAACGATTGGAACTTACCGATCTTCTTAAAATTCTACCGATAATATTTCTTTATTTTATTGACGATTAAAACAATATATCGAAGAAAATACGAATAGACCAACTACGAATATTATTACCAATAACCTCTTTTTTTCCCTTCTATTTTATCTTTCCCCCTCTTAATAAAACGTAAAGTCTTACCATAACGTATTATTCATCGTTAAGGAGCTCATTAACGAGAATCAACTTGCATGTTTTTGAATCTTACCGCACTATAGAAAAGGTTCCAATGGAATGGTTCCAATTATGCCCCTTTACTATCTTTTTCATCTACCCTCGTGTTCTTCTGGCACTGCACCTACTTGTACTTTTCACATTCAATTACATCTAGAGATATATAAAGGGATTTAATTTTGTTGTGCAATTAAACGATTAATATTTAATTAATTAATTAAATATTTGCTTGTATTTAGAGTGCTTGATTGTAAATATGAAGGTAGGAAATGAATTGAACAACTTGTCGGCTTTTGAGGTGTATTCAAAAAAATATAAATGTTCCAAGCCACAATTAAAAATAAAAAAATTTGCCCTCAAACAATTCAAACATGTAGTTGAAAAAGAAGCAAAATTAGCAAAGTTACAAACTAAAAGTACAATTAAAAGTAACTCTGATAATGATGGGATTAGGACAAAATCTAAAAAGGCAAATCTAAAGAAAATTAAACAATTGTGTGATAATAACTCTACGCATCCTAAACTTAAAAATAATAATAAAAGAAGTATCTTGAAAAATAAGAATTGTAACAAAGTAGCGGATAGAGATTCGATAAAAGAAATCGATGTCTTAACCGATGAAGGAACAGAGTTTGATAAAGTATACTTGAAAATTATAAAACCTACCGATAAAGTATTAGCTAATCCTATAAATGAAAGTGAAGCATTGTTCGAATGGCTTATATATCCTTTAAAAAAAGATGAATTTTTCAAGTAAGTTTATGTAAAATCTTATTTATACAAATATTTACAATAATATGATATATATACAATAATATATATATATATATATGTGTGTGTGTGTGTGTGTGTGTGTGTGTGTCTTTTTCAAAGATATTTAATGATTAATTAAATATAACCTTAGTGTAAGTGAATATTATTAATATAAAATTTTTCATTTATTTAGTAAGAATTGGGAAAAATTACCGGTACATATTACGAGAAATAAATTAAAATATTATAAGAGTTTGATGAGTACGCCAATGTTAGATCAAATTTTGAGAGATAATTATGTATTATTCTCAAAAAATTTAGACATTACATGCTTTGAGAATGATATGAGAGAAACTCATAATCCAGTTGGAAGAGCTTTACCAAGCGTAGTTTGGGATTATTTCACTAACGGATGTTCAGTAAGATTGTTAAATCCTCATACATATATACCTAAGTTACATGCTTTAAATTGTAAGTCTATTCTCATTTTAAATTGCATCGACCATCATTTCATCAGCATTTAAAATTTCATTACTATTTCCTAGCTATACTTCAAGAATATTTCAATAGTTTTGTCGGAGCCAATTCTTATTTAACACCACCAAATAGTCAAGGCTTTGCGCCTCATTACGATGATATAGAAGCATTTGTATTGCAAATCGAAGGGAAGAAGAGATGGAGATTGTACAAGCCAAGAAGTAGTAATGAATTTCTGCCAAGATATTCATCTTCAAATTTATCAGAAAAAGACATTGGAAAGCCAATATTAGATACTATTGTTAATGCTGGTGACTTATTATATTTTCCACGAGGTACTATTCATCAAGCAGATACCTTTGGCTTTGATAGTCACAGCTTACACATAACTCTAAGCTTTTATCAAAAAAATAGTTGGGGCGATTTCTTAGAGAAACTTATACCTCAAGCATTAAATAGTGCCATTGAAAATGATTTCCGCTTTAGAAAGGGCCTACCGTTTAATTATTTAAATTACGTAGGCTCTGTCTACACTGACAACGTAAATGATGTTACACGCCAACAATTTTTAGAACAGACAAAAAATCTTAGCACGTTATTACTGAAATATATAAACATTGATAAAGCTGCGGATGAACTAGCAAAACATCATATTCATGACTTTTTACCACCAGTGTTAAGTGCAAATGAAAGATTATGTTCGGTTTATGAAGCAGGAGATAGGATGGTTAAAAATGGTGTGGTTATTAATCGGGTTGAAATTGACCTAGACACTTCCATAAGATTATCGAGAAATCATTCTGTAAGGTAAGAAACAATTTCTATTATAATATAACTTCTCCTATATTGTCTCGTATTTCTTTTTACTGTAAAGGCTGATCGAAGAAAATGGTGTATATCAATTATATTATTCGTCCGAAAATTCCAAGACATACCACGAATATGAACTGCAATTCTTTGAAATTAATTTGGAATTTGTACCTGCAATAAAAGAGCTTATAGTTCAATTTCCAAAATATATAAGGGTAGAAGATCTTCCAATCGGTGATCTAGATAAAAAGGTGATTTATTAATAGATGGCGTTTTTAACAAAAGGTAAAAAATAATAATTTAATTTGAACTTTTAGATACAACTTGTTCGAGACTTGTGGGAGAAAGCTATTGTTATATCGGAACGACCTCTTTCTATTATTAAAAGCTAATTTTTACGTAGTGTTATAAGTACGGAATATTTCAATGTAATTTGAAAAAAAAATGTTTTAATATTTAATGATATTCATTAAGGAATAATTGTAAAGTAAATGATGTGTTCACTAATTATAAAAGAATTAATACATGTGAATATATTAATTGAATACTAAAACAACGAATTAAATATTAAATTAATAAAAATTTCTGTAATTTTTTTTTTTTTTTTTTTTTTTTTTTTTTTTTAAATAAAATTGTTTTATTTACATTATTGTCTTTATAAAATAAATACCGATGTAAATATGGTTAAACGAAATATCATTTTTTTTATACGAGTGTAGTACACAAATGTACAAATGTTTTTTCATTTTATATAAACAATTTTAATGTTAATTTTATTACCCTTCATTATATCTTACCAGTCCCATTATTTTATAGTATTTAAAAGTTATTTTATCTTTTCAAGACAGTTTCTTTTATTTGTTATATATTTATTTAATATGTAAACACAAACGCAAAATATATATTATATTATATATTAATAGCCATTTATTAAATAACTGGGATTTTAATAAATTTGTCTATTGTGAGCAATGAAAGTATTGCATAAAATTTTCAATTCTCATTTTAAAAGATTAAATATAATGATAGAAGTTTTAAATTATAATATTAATAATATAAACAAAATAGAAAATTGAATAGAATATAATATCTTTTTTTTTTTTAACGGAATTAATTATAAAAAAAAAATTGAAAATTACGTTAAAATCTCGTAAGAAGCCAATATTGACTTATGGTAATTGGCTCATAATCTGTCACTTTGCAATATTTTATTAGAAATTAGTGTTGAGGAGTAGTAAAGTTTTCTATGGAGAAAGGAAAACTAATCTTTTCTTTTAATAAATATTACGTAATAGAATTTCAAAGAAAAAATGTGTATTACATTGTCTTTGGAGAAAAGCCAAAGTTTTATTGGCGTTGTGAAAGAACCATAATAGAGGAATATTCAAGAGGGAAAATTTTATTTAAGCCATAAAAAATGATCCGTAGAATGTGTGAATTCGCTCAACCATCTAATTTAACATATTTTTAAACATTAATAACATATTACTTATATCCACGTACAATTATTTAGTTTATTTAATAAAATTATGGATATATAAGGTATAATAATAGTCTTTTACAAGACGATAATCATCGTGAAAAGATGTTTTGGAAAATGACAAAATAACGCCCGCAAAAGGAAAACTGGGAACCCCCAAACACATCATATCAAACCACAGAGGAAGTTTAATATGTCAAAAAGGAATGCCAATTCACTATATAGCATACGTTAACTAACTTAACAAATAAAAGATATAATTAATAGCGGTGCTTTGAAAATTAGGAAATTGAGAATATTATGATTCTTCTCTTTCTCATCTTTTCTTTCTCACTTTACCGATCAAACGTGTTAAACCAAGTCAAAACTTTAGTCTTTAATATACAAATTTTTTTTATGGAACTGTGCTTAATTGAACAATATATCGAAAATAATAATAATAATAATAATAATAATAATAATAATAATAGAAAAGAAAAAAAAAACAGAAAATTTATTTAATTCAAAGATTGTAATAAAATTATTAAATTAACTTCAATAAATAAGAATGTTTTGACATAAATGTAAAATTTTGTACTATTTACGAATATCATATACGAATAAACTCACATTTGTGTAAATTTTTTTGTTACTCTTTAAATATGAGAAAAATAGAATTTTTGAAATAATGAATTTCATTATTCATTACAAAGCTTTTATACATTCGTTAGCTGTAGTCATGACTGTTTTATCATACTTTTCTCAACATGCATATTGTAAAATAGACAAATATTATGCTTAAAGTATAAATAGCGTATTAAAAATATTGCTATATTCCTATATTTATTTAATCAATTTCTGGTTTTGTACCAAGATTTTTGGTATAAATAAAGTGTGTATATCAAAAATTCTCGAGGGCGGATGTTTGAAAATTAAAGAAACACAAACGTTTCTACTCATCGCATGACGTTAAAAGGAGACTCCATCCTTATAGTACCACACGAATCAGTACAAAAAAAAATCGTTTTATCGACGACTGTTGGACCGTCGATTATTTCAGTGACAAAATTAAAATGCAGTTTTAATATTATACGAACTTATTGAAATAAAATTAAAACAAAACATGCTTGCCAATACACCCGATTATCATATAGTAAGAGGAGTCGTTTTAAACGAGTCGAGGACTCCTCTCGTTTACTTAAAATATTTTTAACGAAAATCGGTACACGTACAATAGCACTTGTTTTGATATTAAAAAAAAAAAAAAAAAAAAAAAAAAAAAAAAAAAAAAAAAAGTCATTGAATCATTTACTATTACTGTAAAGTATACTTTATTAATAATATTAATGCAATAATATTATTTACTTTTCAATTTTTTTTTTAAATTTCTATAAATCGTAATAATTTATAATTATAAAATAATCTCAAACAATTACTTTTTTTTCAATCAAGATTTTTGATAAATATTTTTTAACTCTTTATGACAATATTTATTTTAATGTGTTTTTTTTTAACATTATAATAAAATATTAAAATCTAACTGCAATAAAATTATTTAAATAGGTATGAAGAATAAAAATAAAATGAAATTTCTAACCATATATATATATATATATATATATATATATATATATATACACAATAATTTTTTATTAAAAAATTAAATATAAAAACGTAATATCTTTTTATTCTTAAACTATATTTTTATCACAGAGAAAAATGTTATTAAATTAAAATATAAATAAATAATTGTTTAACAAAGACTTTTAAGTATTTGGTTTCCAAATAGTCATGTCAGATAATAATATTCGTTTAGTTGGAATTTGGTTGTATACCTTGAAAATAATATATAATAATAATAACATTTTACAATTTAGATATCTATTATAACTTTTCTTTATAATATATATAAAAAAAATATGTAAATACCTTTTTGAAAACTTTACAACTGCTTTTATCGTGTGTATTTGACGCTAATAATATATTGGATCTAATTGAAAACGTTTTTTCAGTTTTATCTTTCACCTAAAAGTTTAAAACACTTCATTATTACTTTTTCAATATTTCTACAATCATGAGGAATATTACCAAATTTGTGTTATTTTCCAATAAATCGTTGTTTTTTAAAGGTTCGATAGAAATCCAGTTTTTGACGCTTTCTATAGAAAGTTTTGCATTGCTAGTTTGAGGTGATTGTATTTCAATATCTTTATCACTTTCATTAAATTCAAGTAATATATTGTCTATGTTTGAAATGGGAGTGTTATTTGCTTCTTTCGAAAGACTTGTAGATTCTTTATTTAAAATTGTTGATTGTAATAAAGAATCTTGAATGTTTGGTTCATCCTCATCCATATCATCTAAATCGAAATCTATAATTTTTTTTTCGGACTTTTTAAATCCCCATTTACTAAATTTATCCTGTTCTTTTATTGATTCGTTATTTTGCTCTTCTGTTTCCACAAATTCATCATTATTTTTATGTTCAACAGATAATTTTCTTTTCTTTTCACTCATTTCGATAGAATTGTTAAACTCTTTATTTTTCGACTCAACCATTACATTTCTATATGATTCTTTCAAGTCCGATAATTCGTCAAATATTCTTTTATTACTTTTACCGTTTGTAGCTATACATTTCAATCTTTTGGATTTAATATTTAAATTTGGAGCTTCTAATGGCTTATCAAAACTTTCGTTGCTCTCTTGATCAATTATTGCATCATCTACTCCCAGATTTTCATACATTGTTTTTAATTTTGAATTTTTTTTCTTTGTCTCAGAATCTAGTAAATTTATTTCTTTAACAATATTGTTTTTAATTTTTATTTTCTTTGATTGAGGTTTAGCAAAAGTTAAGCCACTATTATCTGCACTTTCGTAAACATTCCCAATATTTCTTTTTCTAGAATTTATATCCATTGATTTTATAATAAATGGGGATTCTTCTTTATCGACATTTATTTTGGACAAACTGTTTTCAATTTCTACGGTAGGATCGATATTTTTTAAATTAGATATTTTGGGAACACTTTTATGAGAAACGTAATTTTCCCTTTGTATAATACTTTCTTGAGTATAGTCTTCAGTTTCAGGAATATACATCTGCTTTGAATTTGATGCAGTATGATCGATATTTGAATGAACAGATGGTAAAATGTCTTGTGTATCTAATGCAAGTATTTTAGATACATCTTTCACAAGACTTTTTCTTTTTATTAGTTCCTTGAAATGATATTTTGGATTACAAAATTTATCTAATGATACATATACGAGGGCCAATGGTATTTCAGTTTCAGCTATCATTCTAAGCTTCTTCTCTTGCATTTTTTCATCTGAAATATTATAAACAAAGAGAAATATTTTTAGTAGAAAGAAAATTGTAAACTTACCTCTGTATTAAAAAAAAATAAAAAAAACTTACAAATAATTGCATTAAATATTGCCACATCATCTGTGAAACTATCATCGGTTATTTGCATTATAATGTTATTATCTGTAAAAAGATCATCTGAAATATTTTTTAAATTTGTAGTGTATAATTCTGCCTTGCCACCTAGAAAGTAAAAAATAAAAAATTTGTAAATAAACAGAATTATTCTTTTTAAGAATTGCCAATTATACCTGCTTCTTTTATCATTCCATTATATTCTGCGAATGTTTTTGCAGAAAAAAAAATAAATTTTTTTTCTTGAAAAATAATTTTACGTAAAGGGTTTGGCTTTAATGATACACGTTGTGAATTAACTCCTTTATCTTGTAATGAAAGTATAAATAGATTTGGATCTGGAAGATTATTGTTTACTTCTATGGCATTTAGTACTGCCATCCAATAATTTATATCAATTATAGGTATACCAGCTATTATTGCAGAAATGATCTGAAACGTATAAAATAAATACAATTTTCTATGAATTAAATATATTGATTAAATTGTACATTTATTATTACTATGGAAAACCTTATTAGTTGATGTAGCAGTTGTTGCTGTCAAATGTGTACATCTCTCATCATAATAATCAATAATAATTCCACCAATGCTATCCATAATACTCTTTAACTTTTTCTTATGATCTGTGCTTAATCGAGAAATAACTGTTATAAAATGAATATATTCAACCCTATAGAAATAAATAGTAAAACATGTAGAATAAATACATCAATTAATAGAACTTAATTTTATGTAAATGAAAAAAGTAATGTTTATTTATTTTCTTTAATTATTATGAAATTAAATATTAAACTGAATTATAAATTAATGTTTTTTTTTTTTTTTTAATATTATTCAAAACTAATTCTTAATTATTGAATTAAAAATTAAATAGAAATACTTATTAAATTGTAACAATTTCTCAACATTTAATGATTTTAAAAATAGTTCTCTCTCATTCTTCTATTTCAGTTTTAAAAATGATAAAATTATTCATTTCAATCTTACTTAAAAATGTGATGCTGTAAGCCAAATTTTATTAAATCTGAAGGTTGCAATTCATTTCCCTTAGTAGACACTTTTATATGTATTCCATTTCTTATAATTGTAGTTCCGTATTTTGAATTAATATCTTTAACAATGACTTTAGATGACTCTTCGGATATCTTGAAAAATTAAGCGATCTATATTATTTTATATTATTCACTTTAAAAATATACATTATAAAATATAAACTATAACATTTTAATTATTACCAGCCGTTAACTGTTAAAATGTATTAAAAATATCAAATATCGAATATCAAATTAAATATATCTATTTTTCAAACAATATTTTACTAATAAATATAAATGATTAAAATGTTATTATATTAAAAATAAATTTAAATCATAAAAGCAATATTTTTATTATACAGCTTGTTATAATAATAAATATAAGTGCTTGATTATAGAAATAATAATAATTATTAATTACTTTCATCTGGTCCTTTAAAGTGATAACAATTGTAGCATGTGCTCTACTAATCGATGAATCGTTTTCTAAAACAATATCTGTTTGTTTCCTACCCACATTAACTGTAGTATTTGGTCGTAAATATCTAATTCTTCCTTCAAGCAAAAAGAAAATTACATAAATTAATTTATAATTTGAGGCAATAAGTAAAATAGTCATTCTCGTACCATCGCTATCTTTTAGTAACCACATCTTATAAACAAAAGCTGATGGAGAAATGTAAAAACTTCATGAAATAAAATTTTCATGCATACTAAAACTACGTATGCAAAATGTAATGCTAAATTTCTAAATATTTTCAAATAAATAATGTAAGACTCAAAAGAATACAATTTGTTCCATCAACATACATCCGTACAAACAAATCATCCGCAAAAATCGCCAAATTACTACACATGATAGCGCCACCTTTATTCCACCGTTAATTTTCAAAATGAAATTTCGATTTTATTAGTAAATAAAAAAATAGATAATACAAAATTGTTTTTTTAAACGAAATTTTTATATCATTAGATCCTATAAGTTGAATGATTGGTTTCCCTTTATTTATTCATTGTAAATATTTATATTGTAAATGAAAAAGATATTCCAGCAAAATTTATTTTATAATTTAATATATTAAATGTTTTTCTATATTAATATGCATGCCTATATATATATATATATATATTTAAAAGGATCTATTTATATAAATAAAATAATTAAATCATAAGTAAAATATAATCAAATATTTTTTCCTACTTTTTATAAGACATGAGTATTTTCAATTTGTATTTATTAATTGACTGATAAAACAAAGTAAGTCAAATAGAAAATCAGGAAACATTGCGATATAATTTCAATGGATATTTAATAAACTTACAGTATTCAAATGATTAATATAATATATAGATATATATATATACTTTTTTTTTTTCATAAATTTATAATTTTTTACCTTTTACTTGACTATTATTATTTTAAATTTATGTTTCTCAAGTTTAGTTTTTCTTGTTGAATGAAAAATTCATATAATAAATATGTCTGTAAAATTACTCAGTATTTTAATGTATTTTTATAAAATTCTACATTTTATATATTTTTTTGGATTTTGAAAATAAAATAAAGTTTATTTCTAAATAATAAATAAATTATTTCAAACTATTGTGACATAGGCTTATTAGATTTATATTAAATAATCAACAGGACACTTGAAATAAAATTATATAATAAATCGTATAATTTATATCTTATAAATTATTTGTTTGCTTATAAACAATGTAGTATTTTTCTTTTATGAAATAAGTATTTATATCGAGTAACAATTTATATATTTTATTAAAAATTAAGTTTTCACATTTAATTCAATTTATTCGTTTTAAATATCTTGACATTCTCTCTTAAAGGATCCTTATCTTATTTATATATAAAAGTATGAATATCAAATTATTTTAATATGTTAAATAATGTACATTGGGAATTATAATTTCTTAATGATATCAAGCTCTTATTACAATACTAAAAGATTATGATTAAATTTATATAAATTTACATATATATATATATATTTTTTTTTTCTTCCAAATGATTTATAATAGTTTATATATATATATATATATATATATATATATATATATATATATATATATATATAATAATAATAATAATAGTAATAATTTTATATACAATATATTTAATAACATGTATGCACAATATGCTAAAGACTGGCCATTATGTTCAAACTTGTGAAAAAATTGTATTTACTTATTATTTCTCAATATAATAATTATATTTATAAATTTACAAGTATACAATTTTAATGCCTACTTATCGTGATTAATATGATACATTTCATATAACAATTTTTTTAATAGAACTTTGTTAATAATCAGTCTTTGCTTTAAATACATTATAGTTATTATAACTTCACATAATAATTTGTGGTTCTGTGACAGATGCAGCAATACTTTTGTGTGGTAATACCTGTCCTCCATTTATGTAAAGTTCATCTTTGACAATCACATCTTCTCCAAGGACGGTTGTATTCTCCATTCTAACCCAACGTCCAACCACACTTTTCCAACCCACTATACATCTATAATATAATATATTTATATAATAGATTATTTCCCTCTATATTAAATTATTTAGAAATATATTTCATTTTGTTTTTTACTTATCAAGCCAAGAATGTTCTTTGACAACAGCATCTTTTAAAATGGTTGTTCGTTTAACGCAGCATCCATCAGAAACGGTAACACCAGGACCAATTGTAACATTTGGTCCAATTTCCCTATATTAGCTGTAGGATCGATTAAAACATTTCCAACAATACCGGGTCCGTCATGTAGTTTTTCTGGTGCCATTTGTCTCAAAAAATTCAAGTGTAAGCCCATACCTAATATAAAAAAGGGTAATTTTTCTTTATCTTTATTTATTGTTCAATTAACAAAAACAACAAAAAAAAAACAAAAAAAAAACAAACAAAAAAATAAAATAAAAAAAAAACAAAAAAACAAAAGAAACTAAATAAATACAAAACCTGTAAGAAAATCTCTAGGCTGACCCACGTCCATCCAGTAACTGGAAAGTTCCATTGCATATAACTCACCTTCCTTTGCCATATTAGGAAATACTTCTTTTTCAATACTCATAGGACGTAATTCTATTCTTTTCAATACACTTGGGTTAAGTATATACATTCCTAAATCAAATTTATTTTACACATATAATTAGATAATAAATTAAAATAATAACATAATTTTTTGTAGAATGAAAAGTTACCTGCATTAATTTTATTTGAAACAAATTCCACAGGTTTTTCGATAAAACTATTTATTTGACCATCGTCATTGCAAATAACAACCCCATACTTTGATGGTTCTTCGACTTTAGTTACAACGATAGTACCTTCTTTACCATGATTTATGTGGAATTGGAAAAGTTGTTTGAAAGGGAAATCACATATAATATCGGAATTGAGAACAAAGAATGGAGTGTCGTCAGAGGATAAAATATTTCTTGCCAGTGCAAGAGGTCCAGCTGTTCCAAGAGGTTGTAATTCGTGTGAAAATATAAGAGTGACACCCAATTTTTCGGCTTTTTCATAAAGTTCCTTTTCCACTTCTTCGGCTCTATAAGATACAGCTAATATCACTTCGGTTACATTAATTTTTACCTGTTTGCAATGAAATAATAATGCCTGTAATAGCAGATCCCATACGTGCACGCTAAATTTCAATCGATTATTAAATTGAAAATATAATTACCAACGCTTCAATTTGATGAAATAGCATAGGCTTATTTGCAAATTCAACCAAGGGCTTGGGTCTACTAAGTGTCAATGGACGTAGTCTCGTACCGTAACCTCCTACAAGTATAAGTGCTCGCATAACATTGGGTTTTTTCTTCTTCTCGTACATTGCGCGATCCACCTGTTACAAACAACAAGCACAACAAATTGTCAAATTGCAATATCTTATAATTGCGTATTAAAATAATTAACATATCATACTGATATAGAAATAATATTGGTTGCTTTGACAGATAACTCATATAATTATAAATATCACTAATATAAATATTACTGGATTAAACGTATTAAACGTATTAAATATATGATATCGAATTATAATATATTCGTAAATACCTAAGGAATCTTGTTTGTCTTTGTCGATAAAATATAAAAAACTAAAATGAGAGCAATTGTCTTGAATACAAATTTACTAAAAACTGCCACGTAGTTGTTAAATAAATATGACTTCTGTCAGTCCGTTTCTAATGCAACGAATAGCAATATTATATTGATAAAACGTCTCGAGTATAATTAGCGTAGGTAAAGATGTAATAAAATGGGAGATTGTGGATCCAACGTTAAATTATGAATTAATTTTGATAACTTTAAACTAGTGGATTTTTACACGAACCGATGCAATAAGTCTTCGGCGGCAGCGGCAGCAGCGGCAGCAGCGGCAGCAGCGGCAGCAGCAGCAGCAGCAGCAGCAGCAGCAGGGATCGGTAAAAATTACGGTAGGATGGAATGAAAATATGCCATAATATATATATATATATATATATATATATATGCTAACTTGACTTTTGGACATTTGAATTTCATATGTAAGAGTAGTGTCATTGGCTATTGTGTCGCGCGTACTATCAAATATGTCGTAGCCAAGGTAAAAGAAATGTCAGTGTAAGTTGCAAGGGAGTTGCTGTATTTTATCGATGGTCGTAAAATATCTATTTGATCAATATAAAAGAAAAAATAAAATTCTATGAAGCATATAAAATATATATATTTAGAAAAATATCAATATTTCAACGTATAAAATGACACCGGTATGATTGTTTTGCATGATTGGATGAAGATGTTAAAAGAAGCTAAATGAAGCTATATCGTGTACACATTCCCTAATGAATTCCCTACTCTACAAAATTATACATTTCTTATGCATTGATTTGTGAAAAATCCACTTACAGATTAATTATAGTTAATACATGGATATTTATTTACCATCGAATCACCAAACTTTCATTGCCTCTTTCTCTCTCTCTCTCTCTCTCTCTCTCTCTCTCTCTCTCTCTCTCTCTCTCTCTCTCTCTCTATCTATCTATCTATCTTATACTACTCGAATTTAATATAATTTTTTAAGCATGGGATCAAGGAATTGCGATCACATTAACAAGTACGAGAAATCATACGTTGACAATCATTTGATAATAACAATCCGCTTCATATTTTCAATAAGCGACAGGAAGAAATAGAATATAGTTAATGCATATGAAGATTTTACTTATAATTTTATATCTTCACAATCTAGATCAGAGGTGGTAACAGCATCTTGGATCCATAATTAAGAATCGAGAATCCATAAAAACAAACATACGAAATAATCATCTAATTTATTTGTATTATTTATTATTAATTAAAATTAATTGTTAATGAGCTGTTTAGCATCATTATAATTATGAAATAAAATTTGCAAATATAAGTGTTATTTTATTTATAAACGCTATAGTGAATATTTATTTATTTCTTCATTTTTTGATCATTAATTAGTAATCATTTACATTAATCCCAGTATAGTAGTAGTAGTAGTAGTAGTAGTAGTAGTAGTAGTAGTAGTAGTAATAGTAGTAGTAGTAGTAGTAGTAATAACAATAATAATAATTTGATTACTTTTATTATTTACTTTTATTTATTAATGACTTTTCAGTCTCGCGTCTACTAATGTCTAGACAAGTAATACTTATTTCTTTTTTATCCGCCGCTTTAAACATTTACACGTGATAGCTGAAACTTTTTCTTAAATATTACTAAGAATAAAAAATTGTTTGCTTAAAACAATCATATACGCATATATATAATATAAGTAAAAATTGTATCGCATATGATAACTCGTAAAATCTTAATTTAATTACATTTTAAAAGTAAAAGATTCGAAATTTTAAAAAATGAGACGTACAATTTTAAAAAATTCTTTTACTTATAACAAATAATACGTATGATTAAATATCAATTTTAATATGCAAATATATTCAGACAGATTTTAATATCGGTCTATTTATTTCTATTTACAGGGAAGGACATACATAATATAATTAATCTTGATTAATTGAGGTTTGACATTTGAATTAAAATAAACAAATATATTATAATTCCGGCAATTATAAAATCAAATTTTTCCAGAGGAATAATTATATTAATTAAATAATTAAATAATAAAATGGCGTGTCTTACGCGGTTATACCTATACTATTGTATGATGCAATGAGCTTAAATTTTTGCTGCACATGCCTATCTGTGTTCCCTGCTCAGCTAAGTGAATTAATTCGTCATATAATAAGTGGATATAAAATTTAGGAAATTATATATATATATATATATATTTTTATATGTGATTATTATTGTTGGCACCGTGCGCACGTAATTTTATACATCTATTTCATAGTTGGTTGTTAATTATCCTTAAATATTTAATAATTGTCAATTGAATAGCATTTTAATAATTGAATAAAGAGTAATGCACAGGTAAATTTATTACGATTTTCATATTACTTTTTAATATATAATTTTCTACGTATAGTTAGTGAAAGCCAATGAATCTTACTTATTACAATTTATGATGATAGGTGAAGGATAATGATTTGTCATTCAAAAGACTCTGACTAATTAAATATTTGAGACGTTAATCTTTGTTTTGTTGAAGTTTGGTAAGATTTCAGCTTCATTGTAGAAAGGTAAAACAAAAAAACATCGATTGACATCACACGTATATTTTAAAACAATTTTTATTTTTATTTATATTGTATCGAATGTTTAAATATAAATGATGCATTTGATAAGTTGTCCTTAATTAGTTATGCAATTATAGAATCAATAAGAAAGGAGTTAATGTTTCAGATGTTAATTTTAAATATATTAAGTATATTAGGTGATATGTTAATTAACATTAAAATTTTAAGGTATGGATAGCCAAATTTGCGCCGATGGTAGACTTCATGATTTAATTGATGATGAGTGGAAAAAAGATAAGCTTCCGGTCGATGAAATTCTAGTACCTTTAAGTGAATTACCAGACCCTGAAAGTGATAATGGTGATTCTCATATGACTTTGAAAGAGCTTGAGCAAAAGTGGAACAATCTAGCTCTTGGAACACTCAGCGAAAATCATTTACATTCGCCAACTCCGTCACATAATTAATAGCCTCGCTATACTTAATATTGTAAAATGGAATTTCCAAATATTGGAAGTAGATGTTCGGCAAAAGATTGCAGACAATTGGATTTTTTGCCAATCACTTGTAGTTATTGTTCAAATATATTTTGTAACGAACATTTTCACGTAACGTCTCATTCTTGTTTAAAATTTATTAATAATATTGCTACTAGAACGGAAACAAGTGCTAACTTCTGTTGTTCTCAAGAATCTTGTTTAGAAAGGTCGCCAATAGAAATACTTTGTTCAAAATGTAATAAACACTTTTGTTTACCACATCGTAATCATGATTGCTTTGAAAAAAATAAAGAGACGCGTATAAAGGAATTAGAAAAATGGAAAAAACCAAAAAGAGATTTTTTAGAGGCTAAAGCTGCCGTTGATCAAGAAATTACGAGTAAACTTCAGAATTCTAGAAATTCTGTTATGGCAAATAAGGTAAACTAACATAATATATAAATATAATAGAGTTTATATTAAAGAAATTTTTCTTTATCTATAGCTGCAATTCATGAGGCTTAAAGGTCATTCTATCGGTCCCGATCACATTTCAACGACTGAACGCTGCTACTTTTTAGTCCATCCACCAATTAAAATCTTTAATAATTCTAAGGGTATTTTTGTCTCTATTCATTGGAGTATTGGGAAAGTTATCGATTCAATGGCCGATTTACTACAAATTCCAAATAATAATAATATCACAAATCTCACGAAATTAAGATTATATCATCATTTAACAGGGAATATTGTAACTAATAAAATGGATGTGACTCTATCCGAGTTATTGAATACGAAAATCTTAGTAAATGGTCAGACCATTATTTTAGAATACTCTAATGATGATAAAATCGATTGTTTCTTGTACAAATAAAATAATGTGTTTATTTGGACCGTATTAAAATAAAAAATAACAAAGTCAACTATAATTTTGGAGTTTATTGATTTTATGTCATGGACACACATGTTTTACATTTATCCATTAAAAATTAGAAAGAATATTCTACAATACCAATAGAAGTATCGTATCAATACTTTTATACTTATAAATATTATAATAAAAAATATAAAAACGTATCGATCAATTGTAAAACGGAAAGTATATATTTTTAAAATGTAAAATTTATTGTCTAATTCATAAAAGTAAAAGTACAAATATTTTGGCGTTTTGGCACTGGACGTTTATCAATCGTATATATCATTGGTAAAAAATATGATAAATAGTTTAATTAAACATATACTGTATGTACCTTACAATATATTACAAAATTCGTCCAGATTCACCATGACTAAATGCTTTTTTCATGAAGTGTGCGTAGTTTTGTTGCTGTGCATACAATTGTATAGATTGCAAATGTGAAAATTATATAGCACACATTTTGTATTAAGCACTGAACAGACTACAAGTGTCTCTCGATTTTTTTAAAATATTGCCTTTTCTCAACTTCTTTCCTTTTTTATCTATCGCGAAAAAGTAGTAAAGGAATATGGCAATGTTATTTCAATATTCGTCAACATTGTTAAAAACCTCTTTAAAAGTACATATAATCTTATAAATGACGAACTTGCTTTTATAAAATACAAGTTTGCTTTAATTTATCCACAAAACTACTAGGGAAAATTGCAAAATAAAATTCCACCGATTAAAATTATTGAATAAAACTAAACATACAAATATCAGATCTTGATAATAAGAAATTTTTTTAGTCATCTAAAATATAATTGTTAATGAAATGTCTAATATAATTTATCATAAAGACTATAAAATTTCTGAATGAAGTATACAAGTAATTACAGGGTTTTTAATGCACTGCTCATAAACATTTAAAGCCAAATATTAATAATAATACCATCAATAGAATTAATCTACCAAATATAAAAACGTATCACATAGTTATACTTTTTTGAGCTCTTTTTAGAATTAAAAAGTATTTTTGCTATTTGTAATCTGCTAATAATACATAATAATAATATATTTTATAACTTTTCTCAAAATAATAAAAGAATGAAAAGAATAAAGCAAGCAAAATTTAGAAGTTCTTTCAGAAAAGTTTTAGTAAATTTGGCAGTTTCCCATTTAATATATAAATAAACAAAAAAGGCTTTAAAACATTTTACAAGTGTAGATATAAAGCAATTAATTAATTACTTAATTGAAGGAGATTGATAGCTGTCCCATATTAAAACTTATTAAGCTTTAGTAAGGTATAAATGAAAATAATTTCTGAAATAAAGAATGAGTCTAATTAATGAAAGTATGCAGAGGATGTACAAAGAAATTGCAAAGAGGACGAGTAAGGCCATTCGTGCATTAACACTGGCCTCTGCCTCCTGGCCACGAGCATTTCGAGTGCTGGCCACCTGCCTATTACTGGAAGAAGAGCCTTGATAGCGGTAGGTATTTTTGCATTTCGATTTGACCTTCTAAAGTTTTAGCTAGATAAATGACAAATAACTGGCTCAAAGCGATGCCAAGTGCAATTCCAGCAATCGTATAAAGATTGCGTTCTGCCCAGGCTCGAACAATTTCAATACAGCCACTCGTCCACACTTTCTTACTTGCTTCTGATACTGGTGTCTTCTGTACACCATTGCCACACATGTTATTTACTAATCCACTCTAAAATTACACAAAATTTTTTGTAGCAATATTTGTACAGATTACTATCCTGTAGCGTAAATCGCATATAAACGATACTTACCGCAATATTAGTAGCATTGATGCAACAAGAAAATGGAACGCCACAACCTTCGCTACTAGGACTAGAGCAATTAAAATATTCATTTTTACCCCAATCTAGATAACCTTCTTGACTTAAACCACAGCATTTAAACTGTAAGAATTCAAATTTTTTATTTAATACTACACATTCAGCAAAAGGTTTGAAGATAAAATTGTTTTTCTTACCTCTTTTTGACCAAAGTCGATAAAATTTTGAAGATCTGGATCCTCGCGATAAGTTTGAATAATTTTATCTGTAAAAGATTCTTCTAATAATGAATGTAATGTATGTGGGAATACAAAGCCAACTATTGCTACTCCCATTTCCAATAGAAAGAAAATCAGTAAGCACAGAGAATACTGAAAAAAAAATCAAATGACTTATAAATAATTATAATAAACCTTTTAACATTCTAATAAGACATAAATAAATGAAATTATATCAATGGCAATGATGACCGGTTACTTCTGCTTAAGTGTTAGTAATAATTTGTAATATTTAATAGTTACGTCTTTTTGTTAATGCATTGTTAAAATAAATAAATAAATAAATAAATAAATAAATAAATAAAATGAATGAATCAATGCGGCATTAGATACAATTAACAATTAGTAATTAAAACACTTTTTTTTTGTAATAACGTGATAGAATAATGTGATTTAAGAAATCAAAAAAGTAATTGTGTCTCGTCAAAGGAAAATATCAAAAATCATCAATGCTAAGTAAATGTTATTATTTTATTATATTAGGATAATTTAAATTAATAACTATTACATAAAAATAATTTCATATCGTTATCAATAAAATCAATAAACATAAGCATTTTTTCTCTAATATCGTAAGAACAAACATCGACAAGTATTCTTGTACAAGTACTTACAAACTTGAGTAAACAAGTGTTTTCTCTCAATGCACCTACGCATCCTGCAAAGCTGACAATAAACACTACAGCACCTGCAATAATCATCACAAGGGAAATATTAAGAACTATGTCATAAACATTTTCAACTCTAACCGATCCAGTCATTTGCCACTTATCGACAAAAGCATAAAGTCCAACTCCTATTAATAAGCCTCCAAAAAGCTGTAATTCAATATTTAAACGATTACTTTACATTATCCAACGATAATATAAATTCACTATTGTGCAATTCACTCACCCAAAAAATAAAGTTGAGCATAAAAATCATGTATTTAACGCACGAGCTGACGTACGTAAAGTTATTCGTTCGTCTTCGATTATTCATTTTGAAACTCTAAGAATAGAATACTTATAATACGAGTAATAGAGATTTAAGAAGAGTTTTTTTTCACAGAACTTTGCGCCCACGGATATCTCTTACACGCTCGCTAATTGAGATCCGCGAATTCAAGAAATCTTCTCTTTATTGTTTCTCATCGCCCCTTATCTTCTAATTTTCTCTTTGTATTTTAAGGTCACTCTAGGTGAAAAAAAATTTAAAGCACAAAATTTTATTAAAAATCCCAAAACGTAGGGAGAAATTTATAACCATTTCTCGACATTTTTGACAGACAACTCGCTACATCACCATCATCCATTGCACTAGTGTCACTATGTGTGCGATCGGTGATACGCTTCTGACGGATGACCTGACAAACCACACAGAGCCAAATGACACATTTCCTCACACGCATGCACATACGTATTTACGTGAACATTCCATGATCCATACATTCCGTATTGTTTGACGAGAGGTCAGCTGAATTTATATGCTCCAATTCCAGCGTTTCACTAACTTAAACGCACACACTCGTCCGCTCAACGATACTTCACCCAATGCCAAGGGATTCTGGGTTTCGTTTACCCCCTCCCAATCATCCGCACACGCGTCCGCCTCGCGTAACAACAAGCATAGAAGAGGCAAATACGAATGATTGTTGGAATGAAAATTCGAATGCCAATGTTGGAAATACTCTTTTCCACAGCACCGTTGGCTCAATCCGTCCCAGTTTCAATAAACACCAAAACAAAACAAAAAATATCTACGAAATCAATGGCTTTTTGTGCTTACATATTATGTTGATTCTTACAGCTCTAACTATTTATTTTTAGAAATTATAATTCTTTAGCGCTGACTCTTTTTTTTTTTTTTTTTTTTTTTTTTTTTTTTTTTTTTCTTTAGTCAATGTGCGACCTCCTGTCTCCGATTAAAAGTATATGAAATATAATTAAATCGTTCTATTATCTGTTTATTAAATAACGTAATTACGTAAACGAACGAGCAAATATTATTATTATGCATAAATTGATATTGGACTTAATGTAAATTAACGTTTAGATCCAAGATGTTTGAAGTATTATAATATTCCTCACAATCACAAATTAGTTAAAACTTTAAAAAGCTTCTTTGGAACAAATTTTATTCGTCCAGTCGTAAGACATAAAAAGTCTTCACAGTATTTATGTATTTACGTTAAAGATGCTGAATTTATATCGCATTGATACAATATTATTATAACAATTGATTATTACTTTTTATTTATTGATATTTAAAAATATTCCTTCTACCGCACCCTAGTTTATTCAATCGTTAAGTATAAATGATTATAATTCTAATGTTATTATTCTTTCTATTGACAAACATTAGAATTCCAATAAAGAAAATGCGCGTTTGAATGCACATACATAAGCAGATAAAGCATTTACGTATTCATATCTTTAATAATAAAATGTATTTATAACAGTGCTTGTGTAAAGAAATTATATTTGGCATCGATAAAACTAATTAACAGAGCTACTGAAATTTTCATTGTGTAAAGGGCAAAACTTATCTTAGTCAGGGTTGAAAATTATCAAAATACAATGAGAAAATAAAACTCGTATTCTCTTTCGTCACCCTCTAACAATGTATTTGTCAATATCGATATAAGAAAATTAATGGCTTTTTAATAAGAATGCAATAAAAAAAAGTAAAATTAAATGAAAAGGCTTCATCAAAGAATGAATTTAATGACCGTAAAATTAATTGAAATGATATTATAATTGAAAAAGTAATTAGACATTCTTTTGAATTTTCAGGCTGCGTTTCAATCCCCACGATCGAACATTATTTTATTTTATTTTATTCATAAAAAGTCGATAAACGAACTGAAAATTCCATTACCATGATTTTTCCTTCATCAATACTTCACCAATATTTCTCTTATGCACATAACAATTTAACTTCTCGCGCAATGACTCATCTCAATATTTCCACTACCACTTCTCAACACATAAGTCGCATAATTTCTAAAAACAATATTTCTCCCACAATGATATGTAATATATCACACTGTATGGCGTATGAAACTATACAATTTCGAAACTTTTAAAAATTTCCTTTTCAAAAAAATTGTAACGTATTTTTATGTACATAGGCAGTTATTTTATGTTATATAGTATTTTTATGCTTTCGTGTTAATAAAAATATTCGTTTCAATGATTTAATTTGAATTTGAATTTGAGAAATTATTGAAAATATTTTGATAATCAAAGACGAGTCATTATTAAAAGGAGATTTGATTATTTGAAATATAAGGAAGTAAATTTGAAAGAGGATAGATGTCAATCGAAGGTAACATTGTTAATTAATTTTTTTTTTTTTTTATCGCAAAAATATAAAAATAATTCTAGCATACTTTATATAGTAAATATACATTATTACATGCGTTGGTTTAAACTCCCTTCCATTTTCATTTGGTTACAATAAAATTGTTACTATCTATTTAATTTTTCAACGATCAAGTGAATTACAATATTAATGGTTTTATAACCTATTAATTATTAGAAACTAAAGATTATTTAGTGTCATCTAGTCGCATTAATTTATAATTAAAACAGATTTTGTATTTATTATAGTTAAATAAATAAAGCAGAATAATGTTTTAATCAATCAAGTCAAATCAATCCATATTGATCGCTTAATTAAATATTTTTTTTCAATTGTAAAATGAGGAAATTATTGGTTCGTCAAGTCGTATGTTTTAAACATTTATCATCAGTGTATAATTGAACGGTAATCAGTTATAATTTACTATTACAATAATATAATGGGAAGTGAATTTCTAGAATTAATTTAAGCATATACAGTGTGCTTATTTCAATATTTGTTGTAATGGTATGGATTTTTTTTTTTCGTTTTATTTTTTTCTTACTAACATTTAAGAAATGTTTAATCTTTGTTAAATAATTAAGTGAAAGTAATTTTTAACGCATTAAAATAATTTTCAAAATCCAGTTTTTAAAACGAGACGTGGATGCTTGAAAATACTTTATCAAGAAACTTTCTTTTACGAATTCTCAATTTTTTGTTTTATTTTATTTTTATTTAACGCTCATGCAATAAAATACAAATTCAATTAACAGCATTGAATTCAAACGCAGATTTTTATATTTTTCGTCTTTATTTAATTTAATGGCTATATTGGAGGAATTTGATAAACCTTTACTTGGCGCGTGTAGTATTGACAAGAGTCGTATTGCGCATGCCCAAGTTTAGGATTCCGTCTATCTGTGGTGTAAACCTGCAGACTATAGATTTTATCTTAGACTCGGTTCTACCTCGAAGTTTTGGTAATAATTTTGTTTTGTTTTGAAACTTTCCTGTAATTACTATACCGATCGGTAAATCATTGATAAGTGAAAGATTATTTATATGTTTAATTCTGTATGTAGTATGTATCAATGTTAGTAATTTGATAAAAAGATTCATGGCTTCTGTTCAAGAAAGTAAGTTATCACAATTTTTTATTTAAAATTAATATAATAATCTTGGTAAAAATTTTGATTATAATATAAATTAATATCGAAAGCGTATTAAGGTTTCATTTATGATAACAAGCTTGTCAATAATTGCAATGACAATAATATATTTATAATATTTATAGGATTAAAGTTGAAACGTGCGCCGACAGATATATGGAGCATTCGAGAACAATTATGCTTGGCATCGAGCGTTCTAAAATCAGGTGATCAAAATTGGATGAGCGTTTCACGTTCTTTAAGACCAATTGCCGATAAAGATAGCGCAAGGCCACAAGATTGGTTCTCACAAAAGTCTTGCGCGCAACAATATGCCTATCTCTTAGAGAATACGGACATACCAAAAAGAAAGAAAAGGGAGAGTGGAGAAACCACGAGTGAATCCATTGTCAGACGTTTAACTCAAGATCGAATATCAGAACTTTCTAAGGCCTTAACTATTCAAAGGGAAGAGCATCAACAATTGAAGAATGAGCTAAATTTATTAAAGAATGGGACTATATCAGACGAAAAGCTACAGAAGATGTGGCTTGCGATTGAACACGAGGAAAAAGAACAAGAACAAAAAAATAAAGCTCACATAGTATGGTTAAGTAAACGTCAACAAAGCAAAGAGCTTCCAACGACTCAAACGGTAACTGTTGAAAATATTCAGAAAAAAGCTGAAATTGCAACAGAGACTACAGAAACTGCAGAGGTAAGTACCGAAGAAGAAGACAAAAGAAATAAAAGTGGCAGATCATCGCTTTTAACTAGTTTATTGAAGTCTCCCAGTCCTACAACTCAAATGCAAGTGTCAACTCAAGCAGCAGGTTCTCCCACTATTGCAAGTCTTTTGGGATCCAGTCCAAAAGTACCAGGACCAGTAATTATGCAAACTGTTTCGCCACAATTACATCAATTGGTTTCAAATACTATTTCTAATGCATCCCAAGAGCGACCTTCAGCTACAGCGCCAACTTTGTCAATGTTATTAGAGCAGCCGACCGCTGGTACACAGAAAGCTTTACAGCAACAATTACAAAATTCGACAAATTTAATTACTCCTAAAAATGTACAAACTACCGTACAAGTGCAAAATACAATACAAACAAGGTCAACTCGGCTGGGTCAAAGCAATCCTCAAATTTCACAGGTGCAACAAGTTATTTCTACTGCAGATTTATCAAGTACAGAAATACCTCAAATCATCTCGAACCCTATAGATGAAGTTATGCCAAAAGTTTTGCAAATGGATAAAGATGAAATAAATGAAATAATTGGAGATATAGAAGAGCTAATTAAAGAAGAAATAACAGGTAGTCCGCAATCATTAGAAACATCTTCAAGAACAGTTGATATAATTGATAATTTAAATGTACAAGCTTCGACGGAACTTTCAACAGAACGTTCGGAACTAAGAAATGTAGATGAACCGGTGTCTTTATCGAATTCACCGACTAGCGAAGTATCGATTGAAGAAATTGATTCAAGTACATCAAATATAGCAGAAATTATTGGTACAGCAATAGAGACAGTAGAAAGTAAAACAAATATCTCTGATCCACCAAAAGAAAAAAAAGAAGCTCAAACCTGTGAATTGGTGGCTGAAGATATTAATAAAGAAGTGACAGAATTTACTATTTCTGAGGAAATAAAAATTGAAACAGAAATTATACAGGAAGCTCCGACACAATTGCAAAATGAAAGTGATAATAATACAGATGAAATTAATATTATGGATCATGAAGAAGCAATTCCAAGCGAAGATGAGAGTAAAACAGATAATAAAAAAGATGAAGAAGATAGTTCTGATAATAAAATAATAGACTGTGTTAAATTTTGTGAAGAAGAACTTACGACAAATGAACAAAACATTGAAAATAAAAAATCAGTTATTAATGATCAAGAAACATCGACCGTTGAAACTGCGACTACATCTACAGATAAATTAAATGATTCTTCAAAATTAGAAGAAAAGAAGGAATTGGAACCATATCTTGACGTTGTAAAACATGAAAAGACATCCAATGATCTGCAAATAGAAGTAATTATAATATTTCAATATTAATTTTTCTTTCATCATTTTAGAACACATAATATGTACGTTTGTTTGTTTCTTTGCATGTGTGTATATGCATGTAACACATGCATGCATATATATATATACATATATATATATATATATATATTGACTTACATTTAGAAATAACTAATATGACTAAATTCGGAATTAGGACTGGCATTTCAGTTCTTTGTTAAATTAACTTTTAAGGTTAATTTTTTGGTTAGGATATAAAAGTTGATAAATTTTTTTATTTAAAATGCTTTAACAAAAGTACTTTTATTCAAATATGTATTAATTTTTTTGAAAATATTAAATAGTTACTACTCTATGATTACTCAATATTAACTTAATATTAACAAAATATAAATACTTAGATATTAGTTGTTTTATTATTTATTTTAATTTTATAAAGATTGCTATAAATAATTACACATAACATACTTAATTATTTTTTTTGTTTAGTTTAGTTTATTATTGCATTAAGAAAGAATAAAATATTTGTAGAATAAATATTCCAATATTTCAATTTTCTATTCATAATTTTGAGCTAATTATATTAATTGGATACTACGTTACTTTTTTAATTTAATATTTTTAACTTGTATTCAAGTATTATATAAACAAGTTACATTAATGTGTAGTTAGAATTATGCTTATTGATATAATTTTCTTTCAATTAAATTATATTTTGAAATTTATTATTAGGAAAAGAAAAATCCTGAAGACAATGTATCAACTAAAAAAACTGATGAATTTAAAGTATTTCCACAACCGGAAATAGAATCAACAGAAGGTAACTCTGAAAGTAGTAATAAAGATGTTAAAGAGACCGAATCAATAAAAGAATCGGTCCCTTTAAAACAAGAATCGAATATTGAAAAAGAAAACAAGGACTTTAAAGAAACTATTGAAGATTCAGATGTAAAAGATGTAGTAGAGAAAAAAGAAGTTAGCGAAATAGTAAAAGAAGAATTAGATATTATAATAGATTGCGAAATTAATGATAAAGTACTACAAGAAAATATATTTATAGATTTTAATAATGATAAAGTATTAAAAGAAGAAAAATTGGAAGACCTGCTAAAAATGGAAAAAGTAAAAGAATATGAAGTATCTGAAAAGATAAAAATTGAACTGAAGAAAGAAGAGAACGAAGACAATGAAGAGGATTACAAACATGAAAAAGAGGAGATAAAGAAGGAAATTGAAAACGATTCGATAAAAAAAGAAAGCATAGAGTCTGTAGGAAGCGTTGAGGAATTAGATGAAGAAGAACCAACCTTAAGTAAATTAAGCGGTGGTAGGGCTATGAAAACATATTCAAAAAAGCAAAATGCTACAGTAGATAGCGAACCAGAGAATGAGACTGGCGGAGAAACTGCTGATTATCGAGCATGGAAGAAATCTATAATGCTTGTTTATAACAGACTTGCCACTCATAAATATGCTTCTATATTTTTGAGACCTATCACCGAAGATCAAGCTCCAGGATATCATTCAATAATATTTAGGCCTATGGATTTATGGACAATTAAAAAAAATATTGATAATGGTACTATTAGATCAACCACTCATTTTCAACGAGATGTTATGCTCATGTTTCAAAATGCAATTATGTTTAATAAGTACAATACACTTGTACATAAAATGACTTTAGAAATGCAAGAAGAATGTCTTCAACATATGCAGGTTAATTTTTTGTATATCATAATTTGCATACGATCGATATCTCTTATATTGCAGAGTAATTTAAAAATTCATTATTTATTTCATTTCATATAACGGTAACATATGAATAATAAAAAATTTTTAAGAATATAAGATAAAACAACTTAAAAATAAAATAATCACTCAAAGTTATAAGTAATAAAATAAATTAATTAATTAGAGATTAATTATAAAATCATTCGAAATAAGAATTAATACAATATTATAATTGCTTTATAATGATTTATAAATATATGTATTAAGAAGTTTTGAAAAAATAGTGAAAATAAAAGATCTATACCTATTAAATACTAATCTAGTCTTATATTTGCAGGTTTTAGTAAGAGCAGCGGGTGAGGCATCGTTTAGAAGAGAGACAAGAACAGCAGCTAGTATTAGCAACGAAGCAACCGATAATAGTTTAAAAAGAAAATGGACTCATATATCGTCTAGTCCTCACTATGAAACAGAAAGTTCACGAATGAAAAAACGAAGAAAATCCGAAAATGATTAAAACACGAGTTTTGATGTTTTGAGAATTTAATCTACATTTGATTGAAATTTTATATTTTAACAATCAAAGATAACATGCATTTAGAAAGTACATTATTATTTGCTTTAGAAATGTTTAAATTCTAAACGGTTTTGAACAGTGTAAAATAATATAAATAATTGAAATTATATTTTCAATATTTCTTGAATGATCTTAAAGTATAATAAATATATGGACACATAGTTGTTTTCTATGTAATTGTGAATTATATGTAATTTGTAGATAATTGCATTATTTACTTTAATTTATAAAATTATTAATTACCATGATTTTATAATTATAATATAGATGATTAGTTTGATATGGAAATTAATTTTAGTACTAATGAATATTTTAAGTGTAAATTATATTAAATTATATTGTACACAACAAGAATTTAATTTGAAAAGAATATAAAAGTTATTATTACTATCTATAATACTAGTTATTCAATTAACCAGTTTTATCATCTCAATACTAATATTTATTCCTATTGAAAATATATTGTCTTATGTTCATTTACCACTTGGTGATTATTTATCTGTAATTACGAAGCAAAATAATCGTAAGGATTGGATAAAGTATAATTCTCACGAATAAATATTTTTCATTTTTGGAAATTGCATACTCAAAAGTTTAGCGAATGTAAATTATAAATGCACAAGTTTGGCTGAATAAAACCGATAGAAATTATACACCGACAAATGAAATACATTGCATAACATAAAATAAATTCTAAATCAAATGAATGAAAAATCATTCAAAATGTATTAATTAATTATGCAATTAAATAATTAACATAGTATACTCTGAAATTCAACCTGACAATGAATTATGAATCCAAATTATTTAAGTAAATTATTAAGTAAATTATCCACGTTCTTCCACTGATTAAAGCAAATTTCACAACTCATCATCTCATGAAATATATTAGTATGTAATAATATTTATATTTGTTGGTAATTTTTTGTACTTTTGAAATATTTAATAAGAAAAAAATGAAACTAGTAAAGAATATTTTCATTTTCTTTAAAGTCAATCAATATAATAAAGAATAATCTTTCGTTTAAAAATTTATTTATGTATATGCGCTTGTATGTAATCTGTCCTAATAAAGAAAAATGCAACAAAAATGATAAAATTAAGTAAAAGCAAATTAAAGAAAAGTAGTGTAAAATCATTGAGTAAATCGTAAAACGTGAAAAATGTAAGAATTTATCAGTAATTTATTAAAATTGATGGAGTATAAATTATTTTGCTTAATTCTTGTTGTGCATTAAGTATCTAATATATATATATACTTGGAATTTTTAGAGGGCAATTAATTGTTTTTATACCGATCGTTATATAAAAAATAAAGATAATTTAATCTTAATAAAAACTAATGATTCAATCACTTTTTATAATTTGATAATGTGATAATATATTTCGTCAGGATTTGACAAATGACGTTCACTCACACATAATATTGATTAATTATCATTAAGTTATTATAATGAACAAAGATAAAGAAATATCTCCTGTTTTTTTTTTTTTTTTTTTTTTTTTTTTTTTTTTTTATTATTCTTTTATCTATATAATAGCAATTATATAAAAAATAAAAAGACTCATAAGATGTTGTTTGATAGAAGGTGAGTCGAAATTAACGATCGATTAACAACTATAAAATAAATTGTTTATTCAATGTTTAGCCGAACGTACGACTATTAATATGTATTATCTTCGAAAGTGAAAAAGTGAAAATATTCCCCCGTTTTAAAATTACATTTTAAACCAAAATTCATCTCGATATAAGGAATTAAAGTTGTAGAAATTATGTTTATATTTCTAAGATGTACAATTAAAGTGAGAATATTTACAAATCGAATCACTTATTGTTTTTAATAATTTTTATCATTGAATTATTTTTACATTATTATTTTTTACATAATTCCAAAACTAGCGCTCAAAACATTATTTTCAATATTTTACAATTTTTATAAATTTTGATAATTAATATTGCATCGACGTATTGTTTTGGCAATCGACTGTCTATCTTTTACGTATTCAAAAATTTACACATAAAAAAGAAAAATACAGCATAAATAAAATAAAAATATATAAGTTATAATTATCATTAATTGTGCGAATTAATGGTTAATTTTGGTTGTAATAGTTGCATCGTTAAATTACCAGTATTATGCTGATTAATTATTAAGCACGTAGGTGTAGTAAGTTACTCTTGCTTAATTAAATAATTTAGCTTTAAAAGGCGTTCATTTTCTTTCTCTCATCATCATATATATTTCCATTATAAAGTATATTAAAAAAAAAAAATATATCAGAATTTTTATTTTTATCTTCAATTCTTCTACATTAGCCGTTACTTCCTTAAATATCATTATCATCTTATATTCGACATTATAAGGACTTTTCAGCAATTATTTTTAAGAGAATACATTGGGTAAGCGGCTTTGGTATTTCCATGGGTACACATCAGCATTCGAAGTTTTCGTCGTCGTCGTCGTCGTCGTCGTCGTCGTCGTCGTCGGATAAATTGATAGAGAGGCAAAGATTAGGCGATAAATTGATAGAGAGGCAAACCACGTGGGCGGGTGGCGTGTTTGGATCAAAGAGTACAAGTTAAAATCGACTAACGGCTTGGCTAAAAGATCGGATCGATTGTGGCATAATCGTCAGCGTGGCTGTCGCCTGTTGAATGCCGGGCATCGTGGCCTCGTGGGAGTGCGCAAATGCGTGCGCAGCGTACGTGAAATATTTTTAAAGGTATAAAATTATTTAAAGTGAGTGGTTAGAGATTTAGGTTATGTTTACGGGTCTATTCGATTAACCGAGTTAATTTTTATGTTTGTAATTTTATTATATTATTATTATTATCGATGTTATTAAAATATATTGCTTTGCGTAAAATTACCGATGAGTCGTTCGAAATATATAGTATAATCTTGGGCAATTGAGTTGTGCAATTATGATTATAAGGATATGGTTGTTTAATATTAAATTATTTATCTTACACTGTGATTTTTAATTATTTTAATTTAATTAAGAGGTTTAAAGAGTTTTTTTTTTTTTTTTTTTTTTTTTTTTTTTTTTAAATATCAATTATCGTGGTAAAGATAATATTTTTGCGCGTAAAAGTATCGAAGAAATCAAATAATCAATAATTCAGGTTATGTGTAAGTTTTCAATTACTCGTGGTTATTATTTTATTACCTTTAATTAAATAGCAATTGAAGAGGCCCGAGTAGATTAATACATTTAAAATAATTTTATGAACGGAGGTATTTCAAGTGCAGAGTATTTATAATTTTGTGTCATGTTTATTGGGAATAGTTAGGGAAGTTGGCGATGTGGCTATCCTCTTAATTCTTAAGAGCACGCGGCATGTTCGATCTCCCCGACATTAAGTACTATCAATAATCAATTTCGACATATCAAGTGGCGATAAGTAAGATGTGCTCTTAAAGTGCCTCGAATTCTCGGGGAAGGCACATTCAATTTAAATTTGAAAAATTAATTTTAAGTTTGAACATTTCGTTGCAAATATTACTATATGAAAATATTAAGTAAACATATAACGTACGTGCACGGATATAATAATAATAATACCAACGCTAAGCATTAATTAAGTTGGTGAAATAATAGCTATAGTTTTCTATGGATTGTCAAAATAATTATATTAAATTATCATTGAAAATAATTTAGAATAAAAGTCAAATATAATAGACAAACGTAGATACAAATTTCATTTGATTTTCCCCTTTATTACTATTATTATTATTATTACTATTATTATTATTATTATTATTATTATTATTATTACTATTATTATTACTATTATTACTATTACTATTACTATTATTATTATTATTATTGGGGATGTTTATTTAGATAATATTAGTGATATTGTCAATTTTTCTACGTATAATTTTTTTACGTCCCGTATATATAAATTCAAAATGTCGACGTTAATTAATTTTGAAAGCTCGGAGAAATCACGACTTTACGATTACAATTGATTAATGCGATGCGCTTTAGTCGTAACGCGAAGACTTTAATATTTTTGTATGCCGTGCATGGCGTCATTTGTATCTTACAGGCGATCATTTATATACTTTGTAATAAATTTCACTTTAATTTAACGCTCTAAAACATTATTTATAACTTTTAGAATGGCTACGTCACTAGCGGAGCAACTTAAGAAATTAAGGACCCCTCAAACTACATTACTTCTTCAGGATAAACGTAAACCAAGTTTATTATTTGATACGAAAGAAGTAGCAAATCTTGATAGGGATACTATTTATAATATTGGTAAGATAATCTTAAATATTTAAACTAAATTACGAGATATTTGGTTTTGATTTGGTATATGGTTTTCAAAACATATGTATCATTCAGTATTGGTATTATTAGAATAAAAACTAAGCAAATATCTAAACAAATGTTTTGTTCTTCTTTACTATCTTTATAATATTATTAGAAATTATTTATTATCTCTTTGACAGGTGTTAGTGGTTTAGAGGAGCTGATTAAATTATGTAAAACATTCGAAGATTTTAAAAAAACACTCTTTGCGCAAAGTTCTATTAATTTAGAACGATCTGTACAAAATGAAAAAGTTAACGCAAAATTAAATATAGAAATTGAAAAATTTCTAGTACTTTTATCACCATATTTTTTATTAAATACAGCTCACAAAGCATTAGAGTGGCTTATTCATAGATTTCATATTCATCAATTCAATAAAGATCATTATTTATTATTAATTTTACCATATCATGAATCTCGGATGTTTATAAGGTTAGTAGATTTGTTCAAATTTATTAGATATATAATTAATTATTTTACCAATCTTCTAATACGTATGCATAATATTTTAGGGCATTGCAGCTTTTAGATTTATCAAATTTAAGCGATAAATGGTATTGGCTTAAAGCGGTGCAAAAGAGTCGCAGTCCATTGCCTCCGCTATCATTAATGAATCGAGTTGCCAATGACAATGGCTTCCTCAAGCTTATTTGTAATCATGTAACCTTTGCAACAAATGTCTATTTAGATAGAGCTAATAGTTTAAATACCCTCTATGCCTTTTATGCAACTGTTTTGGTAGGAAGTATCGAACATTCTTCTATTATTACGGATGTTCAGTTTAATCATATATTGCCTGCTTTACTAAAAGGATTATCTAGTCAAATACCGGATTTTTTAGCAAGTTCGTACATGATATTTGCTAAACTAATTACAAAAATTAATCTTCGCGATGAAACAATGAATAGATTAGTCCTAAAGTCAATAAAGAAACCAGTTTTGACTCAAGAATTAGTACTTTTAATACTATTTTTATATGACAATCCATTCAATAGTTTATCAGCAGTTTCTACAAATCTCATGCTTAAGTTTTCAAATAGGTCTTGGTTCGTCGATACTATTATAAAAGTGAAAAATTCAGGCGTACAAATCTTAAAATTCATTATTCTACTTCTCGATACTGCAATAAAATTTATTAAGCAAAATTCAAGCGGCGACGATTGTCGAGTCAAGAAAATGGTCAACGATATTTTCACCCAAATTCCGTTAGATGAAAACGAAGTATTGTTAATACTAAAGAGTACGTTGATAAATAATATTGTGTCAGAAGAAGTTGATAGTAATGTAAAGGACTATTTTATTGATTTGTATAGATCTGTCGAAAGAAAATATCCAAATTGTTTTGATAAATATCTGCACGAATTGATGTATGTGAAAGAATCGAGCTCGGAAAGAAGTACAATTTTAAAATTTTTGACATCTTTGTATTCAAAAGCAGACGAATCCTTAGACATTTTTACTGGTCTTAATCATAATAATTCAGAGCAGCGAATTATTGCAATAAAAATGTTAAGTAAAACGAATATAACTACATCGGATAATATTAGAGAAATGATAAATAAATCGTTGTTAGTAAGATTTAACGATGATGATGATAGAGTGATTGAGGCTCTACTAAATTTACCAATAAATGTATTGAAAAATATATTTGCCGTGGATACTCTAGTTGATGAATTGATAAATTTAGTTTCAAGATGTCATGCTAAGCACAGAAAAATGTTAGCTAAACCAGCTTTAAAACTTTTATTAGAACTATGCGACGAAAGCGACGAAACTAATGTGTTTCTAGTCGCAGTTCCATATTTATTTCCTACAAAAGATACAGACGTTGACATTACTATTCAGATATTAACATCCGACTTTGCCAAGAGAAACTCTTATTTTAAGACTGTAGCGGATGAAATAAAGGACTTACGAGATGCAGAATCTGTAAGATCAGTAGCTTTCCATAATATTTTAATTTCAAAACTTTTGCCTTCCGCAGCAAATATTTTGAGTGCAATAAGACAACAAATGACGCACGCAGACGTTGCATCTGTGTTTTTCAATATGATAATTTTAGGTTCTGTTTGTCGGGTACCCGTGGGTTCTCTTGAACCTGAAATAGCAAGGCAAGCGATTGAAATGGCTGCTGAGATGGTAAAAAGTTTCCCAAAAGTCTTACCTTTAAATGGCGCAACTCACATAAATACTAATAAACTGCTCGACGCTCTGAAATACGTTAATCAAGGCCATTTACCATTGCAAGTTAATACCTACGTTTTAGAAATGGTACATAGACGTTTAACTTTAAATGTCAATGCAAAATTCGATTTTGAAGAAGATTTTGAAAGAAGTCAATTAGTACTGCGCCTTATGGAAATTGCATTCGATGGAATGATTTTAGAGCAATGGCGAATGAATTATCACGAATGGAAATTGCATTACGAATGGTATTTACAAATCTTTTTCCAAAGACATTTTAAGAATGTCGAAGATACCATTAGATTCTTATCCCAGTTATTTATAAAACCAGTTAAATCACAAACTTCGCTCCACTGCCTACAGATATGTTTGGTTCTCCTTGACAGTTGTAAATCTTTTCAATGGATTTTTAATGATAATACTTTCTTTGTACATTTATTACTCGCTCTTAGCTCAGAGAACGATGCTTGTAAAGAGGCTGCGGTGAATATTTTAAAAAAGTTATCCGAAACATTTAATATATCAATGGAGGGCTATTCTGTACTGCTGTTTGAGCTCGTGAATCGAAGGACCGAAATATTATTGGATTCAAAACAGTTGTCGTTATTTTTATATACATTTTTATCGCCTGATCCAGACGTAAGTTGTCAAATAAAATCAAGTTTACGACCTAAGTTTGAAAAAATACGAGAATCATTATTTGAAATTATTACAACGAATGAAGTACCCATACATGTTCGTTCACAATTGCTCGAACTATTAATGCATGTTAATGGGCATAAGGTCTTGAAACAATTGATACCGTTGGGATATGAATTGCTGAATAAAGTTAACGTCGAGGGGAAAATATTTGCTCAAAGATTAATAAAAAATATACTACAAAGATTTGATCACAGTTCAGTCGCAGCATTAGAAGATAAAACCGTCTGGAATTTTTTTATAGAATGTATATCAAATTCTAACACTCAAATTCCAACAAATAACGTTAAACAATATTTGAGTGTTATTCTAATAAAGCAAATTGATAACATATTTTTTTCCAAACTCGGCAATATATCAAAACAGTTGCAAAAAGAATTATTATCAAAACTCGTTGATATAGTAACGGACAGTGAAATTAATTCAATTATTTCTGTAATCACTAGATTAGTGAAGAAAATCTATATAGACGCTCAATTAATAGTCGACGAATTAAAATTCATGATAAATATTAACGACGAAGCTATTGAGCTAAATAGAAGTAAAGAACCCTTAAAAAGAAAGAAGAGTATTATTAAAATTAATAATCAATATAATCCAGAACTTGTAAACAGCAAAAAGTGGAAGAAAGGAATAACGCTATTAGAATTCATACAGCATTCAAATAATATTGAGAACGAAGAACTTTTAGTTCCAGTTTTGTTCGATTTGTTAAAAGTATCATTGTGTTTTGAAGAACAAAGTTCAGTCGAATACACTAACCAATTGGTATTATCAACTATTCATCATTTGGCTACAAAGTTCATTCCTATTAAAAACGCAGATGCTTACGTTGATATGATCGCTCAATGTATTCGAACATCTCATAACCCTCAAACTCATCATCATGCTTTATTGGTATTGGTCGAGCTTTTCAAAATTGCAGATATACAAAGATCGTTACAAAATATAATGCCCATTTTTACTTTTATGGGCAATACCGTTCTCAGGCAAGATGATGCTTATTCGATTCAAATTATATCGAAAACCATTGAGACTGTTGTACCTATTATTAACGCCACAAATAATATAAATCACGTTTGTGAAATTCTAAGGCTATTTATAACATCGTTGCCAGATATTCCAGATCACAGGAGAATTCCATTATTTAAAAAATTATTGCAATTTTTAGATAATCATTTGCATTTGTATTACTTATTGACTTTTGAAAGTCATGTGTTTTCTAAAAATGTCGAGTCCTCTCAAGAATTATCATTGGAGAGATCGCATTTTGCTTTATCAATTTTACAAGAATTTTCTGTTCAAAAAATTATTCAAGTTTGCGTTAAATTAGTGAACTTTTTAAGAGAACTGCCTACGGAAATTGAAGAAGGTGAAAAAAATGTTAATTTTCATGGGTAAGTTTGTATTTGCAAATTCATATTCAATTTTTATGTCAAATTTCCTAAGTTTGTGTCTTAATTTTTTAGCAACCATATCTTTAATGTAGCGAATTGTTCGGGTAAACAGTTAAGACATTATAAGTTCATAATAGTTCGATTTTTGATATCGCTTCTTTCTCGCTCAGATTTCATTAATCGAATAGCCCAACTGAACGAGGCTGATATTGAAATATTAAAACCATTATATGATACATTAATAGTCGAGCTTGTAATGTATATACAAAATACATTAAAAAATGCTGACATTCATCAAGGTAAACCAAATGGTAAATACTGGAAAGTTATGCTCCATGGGCTTTATGATGTTTTGGATCTTATAAATAATTTATTACCAAACAACATTTTCATAACTAGTATTACGAAATTAATCAATCATGAATACTTGACGGTAAGAAGAAAGGCTTTGGAATTATTGAATACGAGAATAGCACAAAAAAAATTTACAGATGAAGATTATGAGGATTTGATACTTTTTATCGACCCAATAACAAAAGTTCTAGGTGGACCTCATAAATGTGTTAATTCAGAGGTTGAAATTATTCAACAGACAGCGTTAATTACTTTAAAATTATTAGCTAAGTTGCTGGCGTCTACGCATCCCAATATTTTTAAACCAGTTAGTATGGATTTTTACTCAGAACATTATATTAAAATTGCGTATATATATATATATATATATATATACAGAAAAATAATTATTACATATTTAATTACCTATTATTATTATTATTATTATTATTATTATTACTATAGTATATTAGAATTATTCTTAAAAGATTTTAAGCTAATGCAGTGCATACTCAAATGTAAATAGATAGAGTAAGAATGTATAGTAAGGATAAAATTAAGAATAATAAAGTATAAATTTTTTTTATCAAAGACTTTTTACGGTATAAAACATGTAATATAAGTTATAAATTATATATTATTTTGAATTTCACATAGTTTTTCAAAATAAAAATATAAAATTTCATTGATTTCAATTTCTTTTAGAAATCCTTCGATTAACAATTAAAAATTATAGTTAAACATTGAAGTGTTTTTATTTATTTATTTATTTATTTATTTATTTATTTATTTATTTTTTCTACTTTTGATAGGAATAGGAGTGGTAAATTAATACTATTTATATATTTATATATAAATATTTTTAAAAAAAAAGAACAAGAAATATGCATATAATTGTTTAAATGAAAATAAATTATTTTTCTTAAAATATTAAATGCTAACAAATAATGATGCGTTGTTCCATCAGACTTTTAATTAAGCAATAAAGAATACATAATGCGATAGATTCTATCTCATAATGAATAATGAACTAATAATAAGAAATTCGTTTCTACGTGTTTTAGATTCTTGATTTAGCAACCGAGCTCGTGAAGAAACGAGAAGGCGCCGTCTTAAGCAGTGCTGTACTTTGTGTCGCAGAATTATGTTCTTCCATGAGAATTCACGCGATTCAGAGTCTCAATAAATTTATGCCAGCCGTAATTCGGCTTTTAGATAAACACTGCCGTCAAGAAATTCCAGACATACTGATTATAAGTATAGTGACTGCTTTGCAAAAAATCGTAGAATCTATTGGAAATTTGTTGTCACTTTACCTTGATCAGCTGCTACACGAACTTTCAAGAATGAGTTTTCTTTATACGGATTTTGCTCATTCAAAAGTGAGTATTTTTTTTTTTTTTTATGAAATTTACGTTTTAAAAGTACGATCGATGCAATAAAAAAAAAAATAAAAAATAAATAAATAAATAATAATAATAATAATAATAATAAATTTAATTTATTGATATTTAGATTGGATTAGTAGCGGTTCGATTAAAGGCCATAATACAAAAATTATCAAATTGTATTCCATTACGTATATTACTGCCGGCTATAAATAAAACATACAGTACCTTTTTAAATAATAAATATTACCAATATATTCCTTCGCTCATGAATGTACTTGCTGAATCGTTTGGTAGTGCTCAGCCAATAGAACTCAACAGTTTGATTCCTGATTTGACAACATTCTTTTTGAAAGTACTTCAATTTCGCGAAGACGTAATAAAATCTGAGAGTGAGATGGAAGTTGATAACGAAGTGACTTTATTAGACATAACTAATGTCGAAGGGAGTGCAAGTAAAACTCTGGTAGCTCTAGTTTTAAAATTAAGCGAGGCTACTTTCCGACCATTGTATTATAGGCTTTATGACTGGGCCGCGAGAAATCCACAATATAAACAAAGAAACATAACGTTCTATAGGTAATATAACACATACACGTTAATCCACATAATTAACGTAAATTAATAAATTGACAAATTATCCGATAGGATAAGTTAATAATATAAATCGATCGATGTTTCAGATTATCAGCTAATATAGCGGAATGTCTCAAATCCTTGTTCGTCTTGTTTGCCGGACATTTCCTAAAACACGCTGCTTCGTTACTAATTGGAAATAATACTTTTTGTAATCATGAAATGTCCGAGATAACGTTTGAAGACGAAGCCAGCAGGATTGAATTGATCGATGAAATATTGCTGACACTTTACAGAGTTTTTACTTACGATGCTCACGACTTCATAAATCAGGAAAGATTTGAAACTCTGATGCAGCCGCTTGTTGATCAAGTGGAAAATACGTTGGGCACTAAGGCAGAGTACGAAAGAAGATCAAAAGACTTTATTATCCCTTGCATTGCATCTTTTGCTGGAGCAATTCCAGATGACTCTTTGCATAAACAATTAGTATATCAAATTTTGTTAAAAACAAGGCATAACAAACCATGTGTTCGCGATACTGCCTTAAATACTCTAGTAAGTAATTGTATTTTACGAAAATTATATTTTAATTCAAAGTCTGGTAATTTAACGAAATGTGCGTGCAATTTTAAGGTGGAGATAGTGCGAAAGCTCGGGGAAGATTTTATGCCTCTGTTACCAGAAACTGTTCCATTCCTTGCTGAATTATTGGAAGATGAGGATGAAGTAATTGAGAAAAATGCCCAAAGTGCTGTTAGAACATTAGAGGAAATTTTGGGTGAACCACTACAGAAATATTTTTAAACAAATATTGCAAGCAATTATATTGTATATAGTTTTCCAGCATAAATAATAAAAAATATAAAAAAAAAAAAAAAAAAAAAAAAAAAAAAAAATTAGTTAAACGGTTAAAAGAGAAAAAAAGTTGTTTATTTAACTTAAATATAATATTTTATTTTATACATATATGTACTACTTTAAATATATATATATATATATATATATATATATATATATATATATATATATATATATATATA